TGATCCAGCTTTGCATGCTCTTATCCTGGGCAACAGCACGAATGGTGTCAAGACCGCGTATGCCCAAATTCTTGGACATCCAAAAATGAATCATCGCATTTCAAGTCACATCTGATGAAAGGCATACCAGCTTTCCCGCTGTGACACCGTTCTTTTCCCCGTTCGTTCCGGTTCGGTCCATTTGACCTCTGAGGCCAGCTTCCTCTAAGCCAGCGGCTGGCTCGGTGGTGTGCGAACAGCAGCCCGAGCATGGGGGAACGGCGGCGGGGAGCCGAGCGGGAATCCTCCGCCAGGCTCTGACAGCCGGACTTGTCAATGTCGGCGCAGCGAGCGAAGCCGGAAGATGGAAGATGAGATAGAAGATGATAGCATGGTTGTAGATTTCGAGTGGGAAAGCTTATCAGCCCATAGGATTCTAAACTCTGCATTGTGCATACCAGCAGTTCCATGGCATGATTTGGAGTCGCATGGCAAGATGTGACGGGCACCCTGGAAACCCACCAAGAGGCACCCAACTCCATGGAACTTCTATAATGTAATGAACATGGGTTTTGATGCAGAAGAATGCGGAAACAGCCACCAAACTTTCGCTCAAAGGAGATAACGGGTGACTCAACCCACCACCCATCACCACCCTTTAGCATTGTTTTGTGAATCATGTTCTTCACTCAGCTGGCTTCGGTGTCCTTGACCAGCTCACCTTGACTGGTCCTTCAGCTGCTCTCAGTGTGGAGCATGCGCCCCACATGTGGTTTATCGGCCAAAAGGGGAGCAAGAAGCTACCCCAGACACGACCCATGGGACTGCCATGGACGCCTTCAAAACGGGCGTTCGGGGTGGTTGACTGGGGGTCTATCTGGGGCGGCCAGTCCTATGGCAGTCCCATGGATCGTCGTGTCTGGGTATGAAATGGGCTCCTGGCCTTGGTCTTCACAGAGGTCCTTTGGCCCGGACAACTGCAGCAGGGCGGGGCTCCGGGCTGCTCCAGAAGAGCGGTCCACAAACCCTCCATGGTGTCAGGGACCTTTTTGGGAGTTTCTGTTCAGTGGCCTTTTGAGATCTTTTCAGGGACTATATGCAATCTATATGCGATGTGACCGAAAATCCTCGGATCTAGGATCTCGACACCTGTTTTCACGTCCTGGCCAACAGTCGAGTGGTCGTGTTTGCGTGTCTTTTTGTGACAATCCCATTCCATCCCCAAGACTCCATTGTATGTAACGCACGCAAAGACCCCAGAATACTTATTGCCGCCTGTGAACCAAAGTACTCGTTAAACTTGAGTGTTTGCAATTCATTCATATGAACGTACTTGACTTTAAAAGATCGTACTTTACTTGTCTATAAGCACCTCTATGTCGACATTATATATCAACAACCAGCATTGGAGGTGGCTCACTGGAAAACCATTTGGTCTGGTTGATTCAAGGCTTGTGTTATCTGAAAACCATGAATTTGGTTTGCATATATATGTTGCTTCAAGGGACACATCAACTCATGAAGGGCAAAGTACTGTGAAGGGAGTACGCTGAGGGATTCTTCAGGTCCCTTTTTCTTGCAGGATTTTCAAATCCAGCCAGCTGGCTCCGTAAGACCCAGCCTTGAAACATCCTCGGTGAACAGAAGCGGCCCTTCATCGCAGCGGGGCTTCAGGCGGTCGTGTTTGGGACATGATGCCCCAAAGATGCACCACCCGAAAGAGTCCGTTCTGGAAGACCAGTTTCCTGTACAAGCAGGGAGTGGCTCGCAGAAGCCAGGAAGCCAACCAGCAACAAGATCTGGATCATAGGATCTCAGGCAAGATCATGTTGGAACAGGACATCTCCTCCAAAATATGGCATCTATATAATAGGCCACTTGATTCCAAATCGTACATCCATGTGGATCCCTTTTTTCTTCACGATATTCGTGGTCGTCGTCCGCGCCGGAGCGATGGTAGATGAAGCGTGCGGCTCGAAAGTGATTCCAGGCTTTGCATATTAACTTTTTCATTTGGCTATTTGGATACCTTTCAAAAATAGAGGGGTAGCTCATGTGCCAACACTGCTGAACTGGATGATGAGGATGATGGTGCCTTCTGGCATGTTTGGGGGAGGGCGTCACTGAACATGACCATGATATATGTCATGGCCACCCTGGCTTTGACATGTCAGGATGACATGAAGAACCATGCACAATTTCGAAGACCAATTGCAATAATGGTCTAGATCTCAAAGGTTCAAACTGTCGCAGGTGGACCATGCACCTTTCGAAGGTCCGATTTGACCAAAATGCATGCACTATCAACGTGCATACCGATAGCGGCACTAGAAGCCCTGCAACACTTCCCATCGATCGACTTTGCGCCATGCCGGGCTCGAAGCCCCGTGACACCGTGGTGGAAGTTCTTCAGGCTTGGTTGTTAAAATTTTGGACTCATGGGGATGGGCGGAGTGGATTTTACCGCGCTATTGCCCAGTGTACTCCCTTCACGGTGCTTTGCCCTTCATGGCTCATTGACACCCATCGACGACCATCGACCCCCAGTGATGCCCAGTTTGGACTCATGGGCAGAGTGGAGCGGATTCGGTGGGCTTAGCTATCTTTTGAGGGTCCCGTTGCATAGATCTGATGAGGTGCTGTACACATATAGTCAACATTGACAAGTTTACCGAGTACTTTGGTTCACATGCAGGATCCTCGATATTGTTTTCGATCGATTCCAAGTACTAGCCTGCAACACCTGGACAGGAGTTCTACAAAGAACGACCTGCTCATGGTGGGAAGTACATCCGGGTTAAACGGCTATGCAAGCAAGCTGGTCTACAAGATGATGCGTGATCTGGAGAGGAAGCATGCATCTAGGTCAGACATGATTGACCTGGAATCGATCAATCACATGATTAAGGGTCATGGCACCTGGGTTGCCCAGAACTTACCCATGCAGGTAGGCTAGTAGGTTGGCCATGTTGTGAAGCCCCCTGCAAGCCCCATCTGCAGCGACTCCCAAACTGGTCCGACGCTTGGGACGGGTGGTGGATAGTGGATGGGACCATGGATGGGCCACTCATTCTAGCTAGCCTCCAACAGGCTTCTATAGTAGACTGGAACATGGACCATTTCTTCGAATTGGAAAGCCCAACAGCCAGGAATTAATAGTACGTGGAGCATCACGTGAATAAATGGAAACACACAGCAGGTTAAGCTCCTTGAAGCCATGCCCCCAACAAGTTGGACAACTTGAGAGGGTCAGGGGCATTTCCAACTCACTTGAGGTCTCGACATAGATCTAGTTTCTGTTGGAGGCTTGCGCCACAGTCTCCAGTCATCGGGGCAGATGAATTAAAATTGGTGTCCATATATGATGTTTGTCCGCTAATTCATCCATGTCATCGGCATTGTTGATCCCAATCCACCCTGGACTCGAACATGAACAGTCTCCCAGAATTGTTTACATCCAGCTGCCATGAATTCTAAAATTTTCAGAAGCTGGACAAGAGCGGACTTCTTCTTCAAATCACTAAGGACTTCTGTTTATGGGCTGCTCAGGACTACTGCACAGGCCAGATCGATTCATGATGCTGGGATGGCCTTTTCCAATGTGCATCTCAAATTGACACGGCTGGCTCAGAGGCCAGCCTCAGGGATTCAATCCAACCTGGGATTCCACCTGGTCAGCAGGGTTTTCACCTGCAGGTGTTGGGGAAATTTGCAGTTCTTTTTGTAGCAGGATTTTCACCTGGTCCCTGGATTGCTTCTACCATGTTCCACAGACAGACTGCGGCTAGGCAGAACCGCATTGCATGGCTTTTGAAGCCGAAGCTGCACATGTTCAAGCATATGCTCAAGCGATGGTTGCGGTGGCGACTCTTAGCTGCCGTTCATATCACAATCACATAGGGGTCCAACCAGACTAGTCTATGCTAGGATCTAGTACAGGTCAATGACCTCATTTTACTGGATGTGGTCATAGTAAATGGGTCTTTGGACTTGAGATCATTTGGCAATTTTTCAGCCAAGGACACAACACCAGACATTGGGCATGCTTGTTGGAGGATAGCGTCGGCTACTTGGCTCAAAATATAGCAGAGCTACGATGCATGTGCAGTGTACTACGTGTTCACGTGTGGTGCACTTTATGTAAGGTCGAAAGTTGCAAAAAAAAATAAGAAACGTGTGCGGAGGACCAAGTTGTTTGTGTGAAAAGTGCAGTCAACAGGCATAGAGTTTGCAGTTGGATTGTCATCATGTCGCAGGATTGACATGGTGGCTGCGTGGAAGCGATGATCGGAGCAATGCTTAAGAAAAAGTGCTTGGAGAGCGGGTGGGCAGAGTTAGGCAGTTTAAGTATTCCATATATACATGTACTAGTCAAACCAGTCTCCCGGGTCCGCAGGGTTATATATTATATATCTCATATGGTATTTATATTACTATAAGTATTCTCGGTGTCTTTGCGTGCGGTTTTGGTTTAACATGTTGAGAAAGCTCTTCCGGATCTTTCAGCTGCTGGCGGGGCTGGAACCTTCTCGCCCAGCTCAAGGAGCAGATGCGTTTTGGATCATGTAAAGCTTGGCTCAAGCAGAAGACCCCCGAAACTACGCGAGGGGTCTGGGAAAGAAACAAGAACCTGGCAGGTTGATGAACCAATGTATGTTGTGATGTACAAGCCAGCTGATCCAAACAAGTAGATCACAGAATGAAGGAATCAACTAACAAGTAACCATCACGCCCCAAAGCTTTGCCCCAGAAGCAGACATTCATACAGGCATGATCGGACGTTCCAATATGTTGTCATTCCCTTGTCATATCATCATAGAACTTTGGGTGGCGCAAGGCAGGCCCCTATGGAGGCTTTTGCAGACCTCCCCTCCAGCCCCTCAGTTTCCTTTCTGGTCACATCACACGAATACCCTTCACTTCCCACGTCGTCAGATCCCCCATATTGGGGCCTTCAACCCAAACCCAGGTGGCCACTCTACACTAGGACCCTGCAGCTTTTCTCAGGAGACCCTTTCAATCACTGATGACGCTGCGTTAAAACATCTTCTTCCGCGCCGAACTGCGCGCCGGGGCGCCTTCTCCTCTCGGCCGAGAACTGCCCAGCATGATGAAAACGTTGCGTCCGGGGCCCCTTTGTGTCGTTTCTTCGTGGTTTTGTGATGTTCTAGGAGTCTAGGGACGGAGCCAAGAGATGGATATGCAGAAGAACAGATTCCAATTTGGGATGGTTCGTTGTTTTGGAGATGGTACGAACTTCTCAGCACAGCCGCCAGTTCAGAAGAGCTGGACCTTCTCAGGAAGTATCATCAAGTACTTCAAACTGTTTCAAATCTCCTACCCACGTGATTTGGTTCAAGTCGTGGTGTTAAGGTCTGGGTGTCTCTTCCTCCAGGTGCGTGACCCTTCGAAACCAGTTTTGTGCGTCTATGGGTCTACCCTGAGAGTCTGGTACATGACACAGTCTACCCAGTGGCTAGTGGTTGACTATGACTCCCAGGTGGGGTAGCATGATGTAAAGCGAATCATTTGGAAATTCTATTGAACTTGTACCGTGTATATGTATATCTTAATTAAGTTACCTTTAAAAGATCTCAGTCTTTCCACTGCCTTTTCCCTCCCTTTCTCTCCGCCAGGCAAAAAGAGCCGCCTCCGGGCCTCCGCCTCCATGGCTCGAGCCTCTGCGTCCCGTCAACCGCGGAATCGGAATCAGGAAATCAACGACGGAAACATGCGCGGAATCAGGACATGCAGTTACTATTTGTAGGGATCCAGTCGTACCTTCTCAGAAGGTGATTGGAGACAGTGTGATGATATGTGATGTAGGTTTGCCTTCTCAGAGAGTATGCGGATCCCTAGGGTATATAGAAATTAATAGCAGCTATCATGCATTGTTACATATATAGATACTACAGGTGAACCCCCCTGTCAGAGAACCATCCCGGCTCGGGACAAATGGTCTGGAGATCCCCCCCCACTACGACCATAGTGCAGGGAACCCATCTCCAGCCAGAGGAGACCCACATAGATCCAGCCGTTGTTTGGGCGAGGAAACTAGCATGCTAGCATGTGGGGGCGTCACTGATGGGTTCACAGTCGGATGGCAGATGGCGATGTGAACGTTATGGAAAACACGGGCCCTGCGCGAACGAACTAATGGCGCGCCGTCAATTCGATCAGTGTTGACCTGGTGTTGTAGGAAATTCAGTAAAACTAAAGGTTATGGTACGGTAAAACATTGTAAAACCCTTTAAATCGCTGAATCTCTGGCCTAAAGTCAAAAGTGGCCCCCAAAGGCCACGTTTTCCGACAAGGGGATGGCATCGATGAGTTGTGAGTGATATGTTTGTTCTCCGCTACCCAAGAAAGTCCATTGCTCCCAACAAAGTGTGATGGCAAGAAGATCAAGAAGCAAACAAGTGAAGTTTCCCTAAACATCCAGGAGCCAAATCAGTGCGAGCGCTTCTTCAAGGAAGCTCCCCCAAGCCCTCAGGCGGGGGAGCTTCCTTGAAGAAGCCTATCCTGCGTCCTAGCTAGGAGCTTCCATTGAACTACGTCCCTTATTATTCGAATTAAGTAGGCGCCTACTGAATGAAGGACCCAACCAAGTGTGATCTTTAAATCCGGAGATCCTTCCCTCTCATCAGGCCATTCCTGAGTTCATCGTGGGCGGCGAGTACGAACACGTGCGGCGAACCCGCCGACCGAACCCGACCGAACACCACGAGAGAGTCACCGAGCGCCGAGAGTCGGAAGTTGATGATGAGCTAAACACATGGAGATGAGACACACACGCCATGTGTAGAGATGGCATGCCCACAGCTTGGTTCGTGATACATGTATATACAACTTCATCGAACTATATCGAATTATAGCTTTATTGTAGCGACTCCCAAAGACTGCGGAGTGCAGGCTGCACCCGGTCCGCCACGAATGCACCCGTCTCGCGTCGTCGCGGGTGCCGTGGTGAGACGTTGGCCGCTCCAGGTGGACACGGAGCGTGACGGCCCGATGATCCCCAGAGCTGCCGTGGATGCCCGGGGCGGAGTCCGGTGGGAACGCCGCGGTGTTCTGCAACGCGCGAGTGGGGTGGGAGAGGAAAGTGGCAGTTGGGGAGAGGTCTGGACCCATTTAGAAAGGGTGAGCCTTCAGCGATCTTCTCAGATCTTGACAATGAAAGGCAACAGGCTTATAGTTTGGTTTTCTCACTCCAAGCAGGTTCTTGTTCAAAAGGAACATTGACGAATTCTTTAGTGTAGTTTGGAGGTGGTATGGAGATCCAGCCAATTGGAGCAGGCCAGTTCCGTTTTGAACGAATACTAGGCAAAAGATTTCATGCACCGTTTGGAGACCAGACCAGAACAGCTGAAGACCAGACCAAAAGCATTGTTGCTCAGTCTTTAGCAGGCTCCTCCTCACGCAGCTCGGACGCCACGCGTTGGTGTTTGTTTGGCAGCTCTGAGGTCCGGAATCTGGCCTACCACTTGCCTGGGAAGGGGCATGTAGCAAGCTCAGAGTTGTTGCCATCCGCATGGCGCCACATTGGTCCGGTCGTGCCGGTCCGGTCCGTGCGTTCCCCGCGTCACGGCGATCCGTTGGGATTTCCTCACACACATGTGTGCCACGATGCGTCTTAGGACACGATCCATAACGATCCGGACCATTCCCCACTAGTTACCATGACCCAAAAACTCTCGGTCCGGAGCTTTCGCAGGTTTCGCAGGTTTCGGGTGCCGGTTCCGGATAGAGCAGAGTATGAGTCAGTCTCGAGATACGGAAGTCGACCGCCAGACCGCTGTTCCGGCGAGCCGTAGCGTCAGCTGGCGAAACAAGGCACACTTCAAGTTTGTGGAATCGGACTGGTTTCAACTGCTGGTGGGTCTGAAGCTGAGCAATCAAAACGTCCATATGTATATATGCATATATTATGTCGTATATGTGTTTTAACGCTTCAAGCAGCCATACGGTACTAGCCAGTAGCCTACTTATATCATATTTTATTATATTATGTATATTGTTGTTTTTGATAAGAGTGGTTTTATGAGTATTTGACCCGGGAGGCCGCTGACGACGGTTGTTTTTTGTTGTATGCTTTCATTTGTTGCTCTCCCCAAATTCGAACTCCGGGGTGTCCCTATTTCAATACTAATAAGATCTAATAAGATCACGAGCCCAATCATGGCCCAGTGGACGCGTACACAAGGCCTTGCGCTTCGACCAGTGTTGGACATCAGAAGTTGGCTCCGCAATCCATGGTGAAGGACGGAGACTTTTCAGTGAAATTGGATTGAACAAAATCCCAAACCATCCATGAAATTGGAATGTTTACCACTATAGGATCGATAGGAAGTTCTGGGTCAATGTAGGGTCAAATATAGATCCAGTCCGGATTGGGATTGACATTGACCGACCTATCTCTTGGAGATCGCCAGAAAGACCCAGAAAGGCCCAGACACTGACCGGCTTTCTCAGGCCTTGTGATTGTGTGGAACATTGTGATTGCCTGGCAGCCGGAAACCCAGCCAAATTGCTGGATGGCTCGGTTCAACACGATTCCGGTTTTCTTTCAACATCTCGATTCTCGATTGTAGATGAAGATGAGACCATCCAAGATTTGGAGAAGCAAGATTTCAAGGTTCCCTATGACCAACCAATTTCACAGATCAAAAATGGCAGGCATCAGACTTGAACGGGTTGTTCTTTTTGCCCCGAACCTCATAGAGCACCCCCCGATTCATCACACACACGTTGGGGGTTGGCAGGACTGGGTATGAGTGCCTGGTGCCTCGGGCCTCGGGGTGGATCCGGAATCATGGTCCTGGGGCACAACGTTTCGCCCCAAAACGAAGCAGAGCGCAATTCGTTGAATTTTTTCGGGTGCTCCTCGTCTGGAAGGTGCAGGGAGTCTCAGTTTGTATAACCTCAGAACATGGGCCGGGTATGAGTCGCTGCCTTTTGTAGGGTCATGTCCCACTAGACACTAAGACGGAATTCTTCGGCTTTGGTCCACCAAAGCACGTGGCGGGTTGAACATGCTGAAACGAGACGAAGTCGAATGACTTCCCGGTACACGTCGCATCAAGTCGCTGAGGCAATACCTTCATGGGAGCAATGACTTCCTGGAGAAGTGCCAGATCATAATTCTGCTCGTGGCCTCAGAGCGCAGGCGGTTGGAGGCCTGCAGGAGGCCGATGGAGGCGGTTGGAGGCCGCAATCTGTCGCCGGACAGGGCGACCAGAGAACAAGAAGTCACCCAAACACTTCGGACTCGCATATGATTGTTCCATTGTCATGCCCAGGGGTGGCTTTTCATATAGGTCCTGTGTAGGCATATGGAGTGTGTGTAGTGAAGTATATCAAACAAAACAATGTTATTCACTGTGATGGCAAAAAGGCAGCGCACATAGTAAGTTCACACTCAGATCCCATCCCCCTGGACGGTTGACCATTCGGCGCCCGAGCACAGCGTTCGAGGTGTATTTACGTGCTCGAGATCATCCTCAGCGCGATCCTCAAAAATCGTCCTTTGAATCGCCGCGATGCGATCCCTACTTGGAGCGCGAAAACACATCCCTACCTGGTTCTTCGAAGTGACCGTACTTGATAACCTGGTTGGTTCGGTCACTTAAGCTTCCAACAGGGTCACGAAAAGGAACCTTCAAAAGGTCACGAACTGAAGAAGCTGGTACTTGGATCCCTAGGGCTTTGGAAAAAAAAAAACCGATCGAGTCCACCGACCGCGTCACCGTCTCCGTCTCGGACACCGACCTCCCATGACGGACGGGACCGCTGGGACCGGTCGGACTTCGGAGGTGATGACACCAACGGAGAGGTGGTCGGTGCTTGGACACGTCGTTCTCTATTGGACATCTATACCCACTTATTAAGGTGACGTGGTGTTCAGAGGAGAAGAAGCCTGGCACGGACCCCATGAGGTCGACAGATGGGGGGTCCAATATATACACCTCCTGGAGTCTGTGCCATTGACTCTCAACCAGCAGTCACAAGACGCGGTGCTATCTATGGAGGAAGTCGGGGTGCCCACGTCACATCCACTCACTGGGGGACGAGCCACACCACCCCTTTCCATATTGGAACTCCTGGAATGTGTCTTATGATATCTCATTGATGTCTCCCGATCTTCATGTGGCTGACCTTTGGGTCAGGGCTCGGGCTGGTGTCATCCGCGGTCTCGTCCCCCGCCCCAGGAATTTGGCACTATGGCCGACGCTTCTTTTGCACCGTGTGTGTCCGGTCCGCTGAGTGGAGCGGAGCTCGTGCTGCGGAGCGGCTCGTGTTGGTCGACCGGTCTCGGCTCCACAGTTCCCATCCAAAGCCTGGTACGCGACCCTAGACCCTCATATGGAGGGGTCGGACGCCGAATCCTCTGGAGGGGTCTGGGGTCTCAAATCTCTAGGTTTCGAGGGACCCAACAGCTGTGAACGGAGCGTTTGGGCAAGGACCTTTCGATGGAATCTCCGTTCGCCGTGTGCGTTGTAGTTGGTCAACTCCACCCGTCGGACAGAGGTGGCTTGTGAGAGGTGACGTCAGACGAATGGGAGATGAACCAGCAAAACAAGGGCCACATGAAGGAGTCACGTAGCTCGGGGTGGTTTGCTTCGTCCCCATCCAGTGAGTGGATGTGACAGGGGCACCTAACCTCCTTCCTCCAAGCTCGGCACCGCTGGTTGACTGCGGGCGGATTTGGTTCAGGAGACCCGATGGTATTCGATGGGGCACACCTCCATTCGACGAGGTTCCTCCGATCTACTTCAGGTCTACTTCATGTTTTGCTGCAGCTTTGCCCAATTGAATCTCATTGATGTAAATCACGAAAGGTAGCTTGAGCTACCTGAGTTCTTCTTGCTTTAGCAAAAATGTATTGCAATCAGGAGTTGGGATTGTGCATTGAGTTTGGTCCTGTAAGAAATGATTCTGTTCGATGGGGGGGGGGGCCCTGCGCCGGTTCACGCTGTCATGGACTTCTATCAGGGTTACTTGTGATTGCCTGCTACCTTTCGTTCACCCCCTCCTCTCTCAAGTATGGCATGAACCCTGGTTGAACTTGAGAAGACATTTTTAAATTATCCGGGAACATGGAATCTTAAGAAGGATTCCAGTGATGACGAGGCCCAGCTGAGCTATATATATAGCTATACATCATCACTAGACTGCATCACCATCACTTACCCTGTCCAGCCGCAGCAAATCACTCAAGAACTTGCACCCGTTTTCATCAGCACAACAAAACCTCCGGCGGCGGCACCACCCAGGCAGAGGCTATGTGGAACTGGGGGGACCTGCTCATCATCGGCTTGGGCGTCGGCAGCTCAAGCATCGCGACGCTTCGGCGACGGTCGAGACCACGGGGTTTTAGGGGTCGGTCGTGGTTTCCGGGCTTCGGCGACGGGTTCGAAGAGGAACTTGGAACAAACGGCCCCGGGGCACTCCGGAGGCCTAATCGATCGACCCCACAAACCATCCCGGGCACCATGGAGTCTCATTTCGTACCTTAAAGAGAATGGATACAAATATACCTGTTGTGTGTTCGGGTCATGTCCCATTTTCTAGGTGGGTCCGGGTGTGTATGCCACATGGTGTGTGGCCTCCGGAACCCTGTTGTAAGATCTTAAGATCGCCGTCCGGGGCATCCAGTTGCTGTCCCTGCATCCGTCCGGTTCCAGGTCGACGATCAAACCAAGGAACCGAACTGAGGGCCCCTGTAGCTGCCGGGATCCGCTGGGTGAGGACAGGACGACCACACGGATCCTGTGGGAACGTCGTTTCATGGATGCGATCGCAGACTCACCGCGGAACCTGGCGGAACCTATCGGAACCTCCCCGTTGGTTCATGGGTTTGGAAAGACATGGACAAGTTGGAACGGATTGGTCACGAATTGTAACTAAGATCCAAGTTGCAAGTCACATCCACTCGTTCAACAGAGGGGTCTTTGTGGAAAGACCTCAATAAGAATCTCGTCCATAAGAGCCCACGTCTTCCAGGTGGCTGTTGCGACACATGCCACCCTGCGCTCGTCACTGACTTCACATCATCTTCGGAACACCCACACGGACCCTCCTGGCGCAGCGGTTGTTCGCCGGTGATTTCACCGGTTGCCTTCCGAGGTGTTCGATGAAGTCTTGATGTCCTGGCAGAACAAGGTGCGGTGACCGAACAGTTTGACAAAGTGGGTACACCCGTTCTTTACGGGGCTGAGTCATGTCCCATGGCCCATTTTCTAAAGTACTTTGGACAATCCAGGTGGTCGAGTAGGAAACAATCGATGGCGATGGCAGAGTGCAGACCCAAACCCATAGGTGTGGAAAAGGGATGAAAAGGGGAGGTTTGGCCTAATTTGACTGGATTCTTTTGATACTGGAAGAGTTAATCCTATACCACTAGTTACCCGTAGGTAGGCACAGAAAACACTCCCTGCTGTTGCGTGGGTGAGTTGGAACCTCCAACCTTTCTTGGGGATCGTGTTTGTTTCACTTCTTCTCGCTTCCTGAAAGCAACTCATGACAGCATGCACCACCTCCGTCAGGAAGTGCCGGGCTTGCGCGTCTTGCGGGCACGGGGAACCCAGCTGGATCGATCGGAACTGCGGCCAAGGGATCTTCGAAGAGTATGAATCGCCCAGAGGTTCAAATAGCCAGGGCTTTGAAACCTTAAGGTTTTTAGGGGTTAGGGTTTTGAAACCCTAAGGTTGGCATCGAATGGCATCGAATTCTTGCAGAGCGACCGTCATAGAGCTAAGTACCGGTCCACGCGGATGGTTTTGTTGGAGCTTTGACATATCTGGATCTTCCATGATCGTGTGAAATCTCCGCCCATCTTCCGCCCTTTTGACTTATAACAAAACCAGCCTGTCAGACAGATTGAGGTATGTACAACTGGCGGAAGAGTGGGGGCCCCACCGAGCAAGAACCCAAACTTTGTCCGCTGAACAGTCACAAGGGAGGTGCTATCCATGGAGGAAGTCGGGGTGCCCACGTCACATCCACCCCTTTCCATTGCGACTCGTTCCTCCCTGAGGCGCTCAGACTCCTCCGCATCCTGCGGACGGTTGGGGGCGCAACCGGGCGCACCGGACCGGACCGGCGAATGCTGCGGTTCTGCATGAGTGAAGTAGTCCGGAAGAGCAACGGACCTAATCCGTGTTGAGGCGTCCTAACGGTTCATCTTCAGATGGATGGTTTTGGGGAAAACGCCGTGGATGGTACCAGCTGCGAGGATCAGATTGGTCCATGAGTGGCTTCAATTCGCTATGTTGGGCTTCCTGACATGCCGCGACCCGTTTGAAAGGTAGGGACGTATAGGGATGATGACTCTCAGCATTCCAAGCTATGTTTCGGGGCGTTCCCCACTTCGTAAACTACATGACTGACATTTGCTCTCATCTGGATGGCCTTTCTTTGCCCAACAATTGGAGTTCACATTGGACCCTTAAAAGCTTGGACTTGGGATGCAATGGGAACTTAATTAAGCTAAGTCAACACCGGTCAAGACTGTCAACATTTGAGCTCACACAGTTGGTTGGTTCATGTGGTTTGGCATCAATTCGTCTTGTTTAGAGCCGCACACGAGCTTCTGAGCTTCTGTCGGTCGGAGTTTTTCCGCGAGAAAACAGGGCAGGGCTTCCGCGACGGAGGGCGGGTTCTCCATGTGCTGGAGAAGTGGAAATGCTTGACTTGAGTGTCCAGTACACTAGCTGCTAGGTCTTCAGGTCTTAAGACAGATTGTTCGATATAAACATAGATCTTTACAAAGGCGGCAAGACCTCGAGATGCGGATACTGCTGTGAAAGAGATACTGATGCAATCTGATGCAGCCCTTTGGATTCTGCACATGCAGCCCTTGGTGTGTCCTTGGTTCCTGCTGTATTTATAGTGGTAAGTGGTAACTGAATCTCCTGGGCCAAGTCATGTCGAGTCACGTCTATATACCAGACACTCCATGTATGGAAATGCGGGTGGTTTAAGAAGGTCAATGCTGGCATATATTCCATACATGCAGTGTTTGGATATGTACAAAAAGAGTGCGTCACAAAGAACGCAATGTTATAAATTGTGTAGCAAAATGTATTTGATTCGTCGGGTCTAGTGAGTCTAGTAGTCTACAAGTAGTCCGGGCCCGGTGGATTTATAGTGTACCTTATATAGTGTGTCACCTAGAGGGTCAACGTGCTATTTGACTGCAGGTGACAGTGATCTATCAGTGATCTATATAGAGTATATTTATGCTCTATGAAATCAGGGGGTCCACACCCAGTGGTATTGCAACATACATTAATATATAATATAGACACATACCAGGACCTTCAAAGTCACCTCTTTGGAGTCTGTAAGTGACCTCTTCAGGGACTAAGTGACCTCATTCTGGGATCTCAAAAGCTCACTTGGAAGGTCCTGGTAGACAAAATGCGGCGATGCGTTTTATTCGTGTGGAGAAACACAACACAATGGCCGGCGGTGATGTGTTCGGCACGCCCCGCGCCTCGCAGCAAGCACTGAGGTCACCAAGGTGTCGACAGAAGCCTTCGCATGGGCGCCTCTGCTCAGTGCGGCGTCGGTTGTGAGCGGTGGCGATTGATTGGTCCTGGTGAAAAGGTTCATGTTGATGTTACATAGATCATTTTTATTACATTTATGATATTTTTATAGTTTATTATTATTGCATCATCTATACAGCGTTGTGCATATGAGTGATATCCTATATTGGGTTCGACCACTGGCAAGTGTCAGCGTGGTGAAGATGATTTCAATAACCTCAGCACCAGCAAGACCAAGACTGAGAAACTCGACCCCCCCCCCTTGGCATTGAGACAGGTATGTCCCATATACCTCTCCTGGTGCTCGCAGATCCGAAAACGTGGACCGAATCTGCAGATATCGTCCATGACTTCGATGACATGAGATTTAGACCAGATTGAGGGGCGATTTGACCTTCGTTTCAGACACAGTGTTTCGTTCAACAGACCCACTGGAACTTGGTCCGGAGGGTTGGGGGAGTAGTATCCAAGGGAGGATGTGTACCTTCCCAAGATCGTCGATTGTGATGGTTCCTCATGGGGGAAATCCACACCATCACCCACCCCCTTTGGGCAGTCCTCCAGTCATCGCTGAACAGCGGCCCAGGGCTTGGAGTTGGTTGAAATCCAAAACGAAACAAATGGGTCGAAATCGCTTGGCTTTTTCTTTGGTTCAAAGTCACTTGGGGATGTCATGCTTTCAGTTGAAAGATGTGATGCATCATTTCTGTATAATGGACGTTTCTGCATATAATCGATACATCACGTCCACGCTTGAGGCCCATGTCATCGCGTCCTGTATGTATTTTATTGTTATTTTTCACGGAAAGCATGGTGAACTTGAATCTCTTTGAGACGCCCTGGGGAAACAAACATCCTTCGCAGTATGCTTGGACTCGCGTCCCGTCCCTGTGTTTCAGTCGTGGAAGTTGTTGGTATGGCCATGAATAGATGACCCAAACAGGAGATGGTCCACTTCGATGTATAATGGAGGGAGGCTGACCTTATTTCATCCTGTCAGCCTGGAATGATGAATCCATAAGATACAGAAACACGTATTTCGGTTCGCTTCAGGAGCTCCACTGGCGCCAGACTCGGTGTTGTTCCGGTGTCCACCTCCCACGTACCTCCCACGCACCTCCCAGGTGGAGTCGGGCTGGTTTCAGGGACTTGGTGCGATGATCATCGCGCTGAACGCCGTGGAGATGGGTGCGCGGAACGCCGGACCGGACGGTCCGCGGCTTCGGCAGGGAACGGCCGGCCATGCGGCGGTGCACGCGGTGTTGCAATCGTCTGGGGGAAGATGAATCGAATCAATATCAGAGTCCACCAGGACCTTCAGGACGTGACCTCGGAGTCTGTAAAGTGAGCTTTTCAGGGCATTAACCCGTTTTGAGATCATGTTTTGATTGAGATCCGCAGTGCGCCGGGCCCGGGCTCCTTCTTTAGGATCTTTAGGGTGCGCTGGTTTCTCATGACCATTCCACATGGGTCAGAGATGAAAGTTCACCAGGGAAATAAGGACGCGAGGCCTAAATTAGGGACAATCCTTTCAATTAAAAAACTATCTGCAAAAACTGAATACTTTGAAGATGGTTTCATATTTTGCTTCCTCATGTTGATTCAAGTGATGTTTAGCTCATAAGGTCAAGGTATGCATGGTATTCTTCTTACCCCAAGGGGTTTTGCAGATTCGGTGCTTTGATTCATGTTTGGTCTCCCCGATTTCATTTGTCGTCGGTTTTTGGTCAGATGTGTTGCTAACAGATCTCCGTTTCTTCGGAGACCTGTCGAGATGAAGATCGGGTGGTGGTCCGATGTTGGTCGCGGACTCTTTGGGGTTCACTTCCGACCCAAACCTTCGCCCCCCCCGTTGGTCTTAAGGCCTGGTGCGCCTCATCCGTCGATCCGATCCGGGGTTCAGAACTTCCCAGGGTTCGGTGGTGAACACCCCGTGGTGCACCGTCCAAGGGCCCCATTCTTAGACACCCCTTTTTGGGCCCTGGTAGGGATCCATTGCCAGCTTCGAAACAAAGGCAATTGGACCCTCCGGGCGCCTGTCTCTCCAATCACCCTCGTACATGAAAAATTCAGTGATCCATCCTGATCCCCAGACGCTCCATGTATGGGATACAATATATGCAATTATATGCAGTTATAATATATGCCTTCTACAGTATTACACAGTCTATGCATTCACCCCTTTTCAACCACCCCAATGTAGTAGATCAGTCAATCTGCCAGTCCCGTTCGGAGGGTTTGGGATGATCCGGGACTCGCAGGCCTCGAAACGGAGATCCAGAGCAGTGTGTGGTGGTGGCTGGAGCAGGCCACTGGGCGCGATCGATCCATCAACCGTGACGGTGGCGGTTTGTGGGAAGACTTGGGGAAGGACGCGCGAACTTGGAGGGTTCTGTTCCGAACGCGCTAATACAAGGACGTGAGGAACAAGGACGTCATGTTCTGGCTTCTTTTGGTGTTTGGCATATGTCAGTGAACGCTGAATAATACACTGCTCTCTCGTTTTGGTGCAAACAATCAGGGAAACGCTGTAACCCTCACTGCGGCTTTAGCGGGTGTTGTCGGCTGACACTGATTTCTGACAACGTAAAGGATCCACTTCAGAGCTCTTTGGAATGTCATTCTATACCTTCGGATGCGTGTGTTGGACATCTCCCGCATCCTTCTCGCAAATGAACAGATCAGTACTAGCATTCCAGCCGTACAGAATTCTACTTGATTCTTATCCTTTCAAGGGATTTCCTGCATGTTCTGACCAAAAACAAGAGCATCGTTCATCGCCTGTTCATCAGGGTTTCCTTCTCTTCTTCTCCGTCGAGCTTTGTGCCAAGATGCGGTACGCCCGGTGCCGAAGAGCGAGAAAGAGATCAGCAGGGGCGGATCCGCTGGCTGGATCACTTGTATAACACTTGTATAACCTGATCATGGGTTTAGTGGGAGTGTCCCACTGTAACTAAGAGGTGTAACATAGGTTAACCACTAGTGACTCACCTCTTTGATGTTCGAAACTGAGTGAGTCAGAGAATGACCGATGTTGGAATAGAATTGGAACGCGCAGTTCGTCCAGTGCAAGTGGACGTCTTCTCTTCTCCACCAGGAGTCACATGAAAGACGGGGTGCCCAGGAGCCACATCCACGAGCCCTGGGTGGGACTGCCACTGTGAGCTCTGTGACTCCTGGCAGTTTGACTCAAGTGACTTAAGACTTAAGACTTGCTCAGAAATGAAACACGTCACCTAACATCTCATGGCATGGACAAAAGCAGCGCTAGAGAAACAACTATGAGGAAACCAACAAACTACCTGGACTCTCCAAAGTACCTTAGACAAAGGGACATGACCCGATGTTAACAGGTACTTCTACCATTTTCCGAGGTACTTTGAGGGTCAAGGTATATTGGGAACGGGTCTAATGCCATGTATATATACTGGGAATGTCATGCACTTCGAATGCACCTGTCATCCGTGTTCGGCATCACCGTCATACACTGGATCGCGACTGAAGAACCAGCAAAGATCCTGCAAGACATGAGTCTTTGAAGCTCCAGTGCCACACTTTCCCATGTCGCCTACCGTCCGTGAAGCAACGGAAGTGGAGCTTGGTCTTCGGAACCATGGTTTGTCCAGAGGTTCACCTGCCACGGACTCCGGCTTCGACCGTCCCTTTCTTGTTCTCGCTTGATACGAGCCGAGCTGAGCCGAGCCGAGGATGGATGGATGAAGTTCTTTTACTCCGCAGGTATGGAGGAGAGGTTTGTTTGCGCCATGCGCCATGGCGCATGCGCAGGGCATCCGGACGACGCTCCATGAACAGCCCGACTTCCGGTCCCTCGAAACCGGGATTGGTGAAAAACCCCAGACCCCTGACCCGAGGATTCGGGGCCGAGTTCGGGTCGCGTCTGGGTGAGGGAAAAGTCGGGTCCGACCCCTCCAAAGCATTCGGGGCCGAACGGGTCGCGTTTGGGTGGGAAGACTCAGTTTGGTTGCTGGGGCTTCGATCTGGACCATGTCACCCCAAAGCCCAAGAACGTCCAAGAACCCTCACAGGAGTTCTGGTAGTGAGCGTCCTGCTACTGTTCTGCTCCATGAAAAGCACTTGTTTCTTTGGAAGCTTCCAAGTGAAAACCTGCCACGTCTGCAAATGCATCGAAGAGCTTTGTATCTATCCCAGACACTTAAACAGATTGAGAGTAAGACACATGACACATGTGTGCGCAAGACAACACGAATTGCAAGCATCTTGCCTGAGATACACGTCAAGATGTGCTGGACGACAAGAAAGGGGTGAGTGCGTAGAAAACACGCGACGCACCCTCGGAAGAACATAGGACACGTCTGCAATCAAAATTCCATGTGTTTATGCAGTGTCGGGTCAAAGACGTTAAGCATTAAACCGTTTGTCCAACTGTACACTGTTGAAACACATTTACAGCTGCTTTGGGGGTTGCTTTGTTTAAACATGGTTTAAGCAGGCTTCGATGATGATGATGATGATGATGACGATGATATGATTTCTGATTGAGCTGATTCACTATTTGTTTGCTGCGTAGTACTCTCCCTTAGTACTGGAGGTACTCCTTTAGTAGAACGGGTGGAACCATGAATCAACCCAGTTTAAACCAAGGCTGTTTAAACATGGTTAAACACCATTCGTTTCAACAGTCCCTGTTTAAACTTGCTTAAATACAATTTGTTTAAACAGCGTTCTGATTCAGAACTCCTGGAACAGCCGCTCACGCAAAACACGCGCCACGTCCATTAGCTCATCATGACCACCGTTGGTTCTACTTGCCCAACAAGTGAGCTTCCAAGGTAAGCGTCCAAAAAGGGTGGCAGGCATGCTGAGCAGTTGTGCAAGAATATTAGCCATAGACTATAGGACTAATAACTATATAGACATAGACTTTAGTCCATACATGACCTTATTCCTATCAATTGTTTAAACATACATGCACTCTTTGGTTTGAACCTGCACTTGTTTAAACATATGAAATATGTGTTTAAACTTAGCTTTAGTTTAAACTTGTTTAAACAGTTTAAGCCAGAAGGCTGCCCAACCCTGGTTGTATGTAAAAACAACAAACACTTGCAGGTAAAAGTGTGCCTTTGCCGCGTAACATATCTATCATAGCCGCGAATCAACATTGCAAGAAGAACAACTACCGCAAAGTGCATATTTTGGAACATAATCATGATGCATGTCGTACTACTGTTTTAAGTAAGAAAACCCGTTTGGATACATTGGGGGTGCTCTTTTTGGGGGAATCAATCGGTCAAAATGTGTGTAAACATATACCATTCATACGGAGTGTTTGGGGTCTGTTCGAGCGCGAGCTTGGGATGGAGGGACGACCTACCTGCACGACCCGAAGAGGACAGCACCTTGCTTTGGAACTACCTCGATACGATCATCGTTTTAGGTGGTATCGCCCTGCTCTCAAACGTGCGTTCGCAAGGCGTGCGTTAGCAATCGGCGTTCTGAAGGCGTTCAGACGTTTTTGACAGGTCAGGTCGAATCCACGCCTCGTGAATTCAAAGCAACATTTGGAGGATGCCAATTGAAGAGATGAAAACCACCAAGCCAGGGACTCTGTAGGGATGATTCAATTCTACGGAAAATGGACAAACAGATACAAAAAGCACTGTCAAAAGCAAGTTGGTGTGGAGCTATTGCTGGATGGTCAGGAGACTTGAAGTCAGGCATACAGTAGTCATTAAAGTCAGTTGTACCCTATATGGATCTAGCATGAACATGATCTAACCACCTTTTGGCTTCGAAGGGATGCTCAGATGGATGTCCAACGTCCTCGTGGAGTCGTGTCTGACGGATTCTGACGATGGGTTCACTGCCCCCACATGGCAATGACCATGTTCTTTGGCTCGGTTCAACAGGACACCCGTTGGACCAAGCGACTGGGACAGTTGACGCTTCATGTTCTTCATGTTCTTCCCTTCAGAGGCACAACACACTGAACAGTGTGACACTCAACAGTGCCTGGCACGGAATTGTCAAGCCCGTTGGCCTTGAAAAAGAGCTGATACCATGATAAAAGCATATAGAAACACCCGCTTCAATCCAAAGCAACGCTGGAGCAAATCCTGGTTTTCCGTGGATACAGTATCCCATGGCTTGATCTCCCTGCATTGCATGACCCTTTTCCGAATACCAAACAGGTGGTGGCTCTCCAAGCAACCAGGATTTTTTCAAACAATGATACTCAGCCCAGTTCCAATGTCTGAGGGGATGATTTTGAACCATCACCACATCTGACTCCAGCCACCCCATCTGACGATGCCCAAAATGTTCCTAGTAGCTTCTTGTTCCTCGCTACGCGATGCCATCTTCGCGCCCCGTTCCTTCACCAACGAACGCGACGTTTCCGTTGACATGTCGAGTTTCCGGTGATCCTCAGGCAGATCAATGGATTCTGGCTTTGTTCGAGGCCGATGGGCTTCCGCCAAACCGCGAAACCGCCACGACGCGACGGTTCAACTGATTCCGTGTCTTCAGTCCCGAGTGAGAGGACGCGGCGGTTAAGCGGTTTGCCGCAGGGGCCATGGGTTTGCTGCGCATCTGAGCATCAGATGGAGTCAACATGAATCCATGTCAAGTGAGTCAAGTGATTTGCTGTCATCAGTGAGTGGTTGCGGGATCTCAACATGCATGTTTTGCAGCACCAATCACCACAGAGTCGCCGTATTTTCCACCCTGTGATCATGGAAACGTCGATCTTGTTAGACCCGGAGTGAGTCCAACATCGACAGCGACGCCAAGGGACGAAACATGGGCCAGGAGGGTGGGACTGTCTCGTGGGGACGTTCCGCAGGACTCTCTCGGAAGGGAACCTTCAAGTCATGACCGTCCGACGGGTCGATCACGAATCGTCGTCCCGAACGGAGGTCACGTCCTGTTTCGGTCCTGGATGGTGTTGCAATCTTCGCAGAGTTGCTCACGAATTCGTTGAGCATGAGCATTTCTCCGCCACTTCGACGGTCGACTACTTCGGGCCATGTCGACACTTCGGGCCATGCTCCGCCAGGAACTCGACCCGACTCACTGAATGCTTCGGGCCATGCTACCGGGTGTCCCATAGGAAGACCTAGCCTAGAGCAGTGGGTCATGTTGACGAACAGAATATTGATGTAAATGTCACATGAAGTGGTAATCATAGTGGTATAAGGGAAGTGCATGAATCAACAGACTGCACGAATGGTACTGTAGTTCTGAAGGACAGCAGGAGCTTTTTCCAGATTCACCAACCCAGGTCTACCGATTTTCTGCTTCAAACGATTGGCCCACCGCCCCTGGCCCCTATCATGTTCTATCCCCTTCTCCAAGTCCCGTCGACAGACGCGACCTGACGCCACCTACCTGCTCCGCACGTCGCGCGCTCGGAACGGAGCAGGTGGAGACCGGGAACGCGGGGCATTTGCCGCACTTGCTCACGCCTCTCGGTGATGCATCGCGAGTGGCACAGCATGGTCGGATCGACAAAGGTCGGCATGGTCGGTTCAACGGTGTTTCGGTGCTTTCTGACGTTTAGGAAGTGGACAGTGCTCATTGATCAAAACCACACATCGCTGCAGTTTTAGAGGTGTGGTGTGTGAGCTTCTGGACCCAGGTTGTGAGTCCAGCCACTAACTTTGAAATACCATTTCGCTTGAAGAAGGACATCAAGTGACTGGTCGGAGATTCTGGAGAGCCAAGATCCGTAGGTCTTTGTTTGCACCTCCAATCTGTGGAGATCCCTTGGATGACCAAAGGTAGGGATAGCTGGGGATAGCTGGGGCATGTTCACCACAAGTTGTTGGGCCTCATGGAAAATGAACCACCGACCTGTCTCATTCTTTTATTCGGGGAATGTGTCAAGAGATGAGATTTCTCTATAGAAGGTGTGTTGTGTTTGTTTGTGTGCATGTGTTTTGGTTGATCCTCCTAGAATTGCAATCCTGGCGGAATCTATCTAGCATTTGTCCGCTACCATGTCTCATTCAGGGGATGTCCCGGAAGAGGACAACCCTCCGGTGTACCCCAAGTCTTTGAGTTGCCAACGTCTCGCGCTGGCAGAAAGGTCCCCTTTTCGTGCATGTTCTCAGGCCATGAAGGCCATACAGTCGATCGGACCTGGACCGGCTTGAAGTGCTGGAAAATGGGACACGGGGCCTTATGAAAAGAAGAAAATACGACTATATACCCAATTCCCGGAGGTACGAACTGAGACTTCAGTCACTCCAGGTCGAGTTCGGACACTTGAATGACCTACCTAGCTGTGAGTGAACGATATCCCAACAGTCTCATCTATGCACTAAGTGCCACCTTCGAGGGCTACCTGGCTACCTGGTCACTGCCTTCCGAGCGTCACAACAGTCTGAGGCTCTTGAGACTTCTGCGGCTCATGCGCTTGCTGCGCTTGCTTCGCTTGGTGAAGGCGGATCGGGTAGGAGCGAAGATCAGTCCGGTCTAAGCATCTTCTCAGGACCTCGCTGCCCACGTCTCCTGGTGCCTGTGGGTGATAGCTGAAGTTTCCTCACTGGGGTTTCACTCACACTCTCGTCTCCCACAGGCGCCAGGAGACGTTGTAACCGAGGTCGTTGGAGCCCTTAGGCTATAGCAAATTGATTTTTCTACAGTTATAGGATCATGTTAGTCCTGGGGGTCGCGGTCCAAAACACGCGACGTGTGCTACGCAGGTGGTGCGACCGGTCTACCAACTGGCGCTGGGCATCGTCAAGGCGGGGCGATGGAGGGGGGAGGGGTGAAATCGGAGGGAGGAGCATGTGTATGATTTTGTTGGTATCACCTTCTGAGAAGGTACTTGGATCCCTAGGGAGGGTATGCGACCCCTTCTGTATGGGTTGCAGTACTCGTTCTCAAGTGTCGTTCACATGACATGAAGAGCTACTTTTGCCACTTTAAAACTGAAGAGCACACCTTTGGGCTGATGTCATTTGCGATGGCACAATCTTCATCAACAGTTCTAGACATGGAAGGCCACTTAGTTGGTTTTAAGCTTCCTGCGTATCGACCAACTCCTGCCCCAGTAATGACTTTCCACCCTCAAGTTCCATTGCGTCCACTCGGCGGACGTTCAGGGAACTCTTGCCATTAGGACCTGCGGCCAGTTGATTGAATTGCGGAACGCGGAACCCGATGGGAACATACCTGAGAACGCCGGAAAACACCTAGAGAGGAAGTCAGGCGAGAGGTGTCATCAAACAATCGCAGTCAATATTCTTGCGCCTTCAGACACTCTCACGTCTTGCAATACAGTCTTCCCCACACATCTGCCGGAACAAAGCCACACGCCACACAGCACAAAAAGAGAACAGCTGCCAACCGCCAACCGCAGAAGTACTCCGTTTTCCTTCGTCCAACGACCATCACGACCATCAGCCGCCACCGACGGTCGGCGAGAAAGCGCGCGCGCGCGCGCCAGGCGTTGCAGTCGATGTTTTGGGTCTTGGTGTTGACACTCCTGGCCCTTTATGTGCCTTGGCTGAAACCCTGGGCACGGACGGGAGTGAAGGGTGGGGGTGAGGGGGCTTTAGATTGGAGCAAGGCGAGGGCACTGACTTGGAGCTAGACTTAGAGCGGAAGAACTTTCAAGAGATAAAGCTAGATGATGGACCTGTTCTTTTAATTGGATGACAGTTGGCAGGTTCACGGAACCACACCTTTAAAGATTCAGATTTGGTGCATGTGTCCATTCGCAATGGGGTTGGAGTTGGCACGATCGATTCTTTCAGGGCAGATCTCATTCTGATGGTTTGAGGGCAGTCAATGGTTGTGTTTTGGTCTTTGAAACAACTGCCTGGCTCAAGTTGGAGCTGTGTCAGGAATTCCTAGCTGCATCCTCTAAGTGTTTCAGGATCCAGGCAGAGCATAGGCATAGGCATAGTCCCGGTGGGGGAAGGAGCACAAGTGCGCCAGAAGTGCCTTGGGCCGGATGAGTTCACTCCGCCCACCTGATTTCTCCATGGCCTCGCAGAGCTGTTGCAACTCACCGGGTGCAACCCAGGTTCGGCTACGCCACGTTGGGGTGGAAACACGTGGAGAACGCCCCCGGGTTTACTTAGATCGTGAAATCTGAATACACTCTGACGAACACATCACATGCAAGTGGATGGCATGGCCTCTTGGAAGACGACTTTCCTTTACAAAGAGTGGGTGCCATCCACTTCCATGTGAATGTGTTCGTCGGAGTGTACCAAACAGGGGGCATCTTCGGAAGAACCGACGCACGGACAGAGTCCGATCTCCAGGCCTGCGCGCTGGTGATGACCAATCTCATAGGCGATCCGGTCGGTGGGTGGGAGTGGCATCTTCCGGACCCGTGCGGTAATTTTACCGCATGGTGTATATAGAGAGAGAGGCTGGTAAACTGCAAGTGAATGCTTCAAACTTGCAGGGTTTCACCAAGCAATTATTCCTGTCAGTGGATTCTTGCCTCCTTGGAAGATGCATCAGATCTGACGCTTTCGGGTTCCAAGTGGTTCCAAGTGGGTTGGTGGAAGCTGGCCTTTGGAAGAACATCCCCAAGGCTCTGTGTCTACACAGGTCTGACATGGCAACAAGCCACGGCAGCAAGCCACCAAGCCTTGTGCAGGTGAACCTGTTCCGAGTGGATGAGCTCCAGGTAGTTTGATTCAGATTCTGTATACTTGAAGCTCCGATTTGACAGGATGCCTTGCACATAGAGGTCTTGAGACCTGGGGTTCTTGGGCGCCCCGAATTGGAAGATGCTCACCATCAGAGTCTACAGGATGAACCCAGATGAAGAATTGCAAGCCGATATCTTCATCGAGCCAGTCAGGTTTGGCCCTTGTGTTCTCTTGGATGCCTGAAATCCTCTCAGGCAATGCCATGCTGAGAGGTGCTGAGGACTGTGTGTCGAACAGATCCACTTTCCGTCGTCGCAAACAAATGGAATCAGTGGATATCAGTGGAACTTAATCTTGATCATAAAGAACTACCTGGTTTTGCCTAAGGTGATGTGTTATTTTCCCATATGTTCCCCTTCTGATGATACAAATCCCCATACCGCCCATGAATATGTTTGTATCGGTTCCTGGACGGCCAAGACTATGGGAGCAGATTGTGTGAACATGTGTCCATTTACGAGGCAATTGCATGCCTTGTTGGGGCCAACCCGTGTGACGCATGGGATCACAAGTCCACTAAGCTGTCCGAATGGATCAGACAGCTTTCTGAAGCTTCGCTGTTTCCAGGATCTTGACCCCAAAGTCCGGGTACTCTTCAGTACAGTGCCCCTGCCTGAGAGTGAGGATCTTGAGAGTGAGGATTCTGGGAGAGACAAAAGGAAGATGCTCGAGAGACTGCATGGCTTCTGTTTGTTCAGGAGTCATGACTATATCGCGGAAGAGCGGTTGCATTAGACCAACTTTGACTCCTATTTGTCACTTTGAAGTCTTGGAAAACCCTGAGATGCCGGAGACCTTCTTTTATGAGGTGTGAGGTTCGACGTGTAAAACCTCAAGGAGCGCCCGCAAGACGCACGCACCACATCCCCCTGAAGAACACAGAGATCAACAGACCTTAGGGATCCAGTCGTACCGAACGTCAGAAGGTATTTGGACCCTCCTGGCACCTACACAACAATGTCGAAAGCATCACCTTCTGAGAGGTGATGTATCAGGGGGGTTGAACTGGCTCCATTTGTCAGATCTTCAGCTTTCTGGGCCACCAAATACGTCACTTCCAATCCGATCAATGTCCACCTCCAGGTCGCTGCTGTCGGTCACTCGAGGGGGCACTTTTGTCACTGCTGTCGGTCTCCCACTGGCAGCTCTCACTATATTAATACGACCTACGTGGAAGCACTTCTTGTCGCAGCTAGAGGGAGAAGGGACCCCTTTGCCACTTGGAGTTCCATCTCGCCACTCCAGCACTTCAGGCTCGACTCACTCTTCACGCTCTTCGGCTTGATGAACAGTCGGTGCCCCTGGTCGTCATCCAGATCTTCCGGATGCACCATCTGAAGAGATGCTGGTAGAGGAATCATCGTTACAACGGTTTTTAGGGAGGTGTGGATAGGTGCGGATGTTCATTTTGAGGTTCTGTGTCTTGGATCTTGAGGTGGAAAATAGATTAGAATTTGCTGAGGTGCATCAGCCAGACATGTGCATTGGGGAGAGGCTCAAGTCCATGTCAGGATCTTATGAATAAGATGCTCCCACAATCAACATTACGCGAAACAATGCATTCGCAGGACGGGCAGTGTCTGTGACCCACCCCTCTGTTGTGTTTTCATATCCTTATTTCTATCACACACCAACATCCAGGATCTGACTCTCGTCACTTGCTCCTCCGCATCATGTGCTGAACATGTCATGGCCATGATTGCAGCGCCTCGCAGCGTGCGATGGCACGGTGCGTTTGAGAGATCGAATATGAGCTTTGACTTTGATCCCACCAACCCGCAGCAGCAGTTGGACCCCAATCCGGCCGCCTGGACGAACAAAAACATGCGAATTCTCGGCCGGATCGGAGGTGTGATGAATTGGTGCGGAGGGGAATCGGCGTCAATTTGACCTCATTTGACTCGAGTTGATACAAAAACACTACCAACATGATCTCAAGGACCTTGTTTTACTGGGTCTGGGTCATGCTGGCACACCCGGGGTAAGAAATAGCGGAAGAAGCTGGATGTGTGCGGATGCCAGGATTGCCTCTCTAGACCCATCAGTCGACGTTTAGTCAGAGAAGGCCCTGCACCGCTGCAGGGCGGGAGTGCGCTGTCGGTGCTGACCCCGAACGGGCCTTGCAAAAGCCTTTGTTGTAACGAGCAGGAAACAGGCTAAAAGCCGACCCAGAAGAAAGTGTGGTAGGTTGGCCAGAAGGAATGGCCAAAACCGAAAAGATGATCGTAGGCCAAGCATTGGTGAACTACGGTGAACTTCTTCGTTCCAGCATATCGAACACCTGATTCTCTTCAAGAGCTCGCTGGGCTCACTGGCCCCTCTAAAGCGGTTAGATAATTTTGATCAATTACCTTGCAAGTTCAGTCCTCAAACTTTCCAAAAAAGACGAGCCGCTTTCTGAAAAAAAGAAACACAACAACCACACCACCAGACCATCCACACCTCTTTGACCACTTGCCACCCAAACCTGACCCCACACCGGACCAAACCGTCCGATGTGTTGCTTTTGTTGCGGGGCTTTTCCCCGTGCAGAGCCGTCCCTTCCCTTCATCCGCGTAACAGCGCGTAACAAGCGCAAGCGTCACACGCGTCACACGCGTCCGCCGCCGAAATCAGGACATCAATGATAGTGGCTTGCAGTGGTGGATCGGATCTCAGTCGACGGGAGCGACTCCGCGAGTGGACAAAACCGACGTAGAAGGACAAAGGAGTGGACCTAGGGCTGCAGTAGGGGCTTTATTCGAGACCCCGGTCTCCCGGGGTAATGTGCTCCAACCCATGGGTCTGGTTTGATGTATTTTTTGGGGGGGAGAGTCCGACTCGATAGTCTTTCAAGATATACCTGTAGGACCAAATGTTGCGCTGGGAACTCACTTCCACAGCATCGCCATTGCCCATTTATCGAAGCACTGAGGACCAATGAAGCTTGAGAGAACGCTGAGCGGGCAGTGATCGCTTCGCGGCAAGCTGATATGGCTTTACATGTGGTTGGGAGCTCAGCCAGGGAGGAGTAAGTTAGCTGAAACCAGCTTGAAGCTTGCTTGTCCAAACCAGGTCAGGGTCACTTGTGGTGGAACTACCCTCAAAATATAATCCTATTGCCCCTTGAACAGAAAGGGAGTCACTCAGGACTTAGGGAGCAAACAAGCACCTCTGGACGGCTTCACACATGTGTTTTGGACCTGCCCATGGCTCTTTGAACAGTTGAAACCACTCCGTCACTTACAACAGGACAACTGAAGACGAGAAGTCAATGAGAAGTCATATGTTGTACATGTCATTGTATTTCAGTCATACCATGTCATACCAAAGCAATTTCAAAAAGTGTCTGTAAAGGTTTCAGAGTGTTGAGGTCAGTGACTTCCTTCCATTGCAAGGAGGTATTGCTTGTGCCTTTGAAACAAAAATAAACAGGATACCCCCACGTTCGGAACCCCACACGCCGTATGTGTAATTAGGGACTTGCCTGGATCGTAGACCTGACTACTTTGTCTTTTCCAACCACGGAAAGCCATCTTCTAGAAAGTCGCACCATTGGCACCATGGGTCACCATGAGGACGACAGTGGGTGCATGAGGGTGCGTCAGCCTGACAGGCAAGTGGATCCACATACCAATTGAATCCTCTTAGAAGGCGATGCGTTCGACACATGTTACGGCATGGAGGGTCCAGTCGTACCTTCTGAGGATCCCTAGCAAGGAGTTGGTGATGAAATGGGATGATGTTCCGGGCCTTGGAATGAGGTCATACAGCCAGGCTGTGGGTCATGGCGGGACCCTGGGACGACCACAGGAGGTCCCGCCTCTCCAACATCAACCGGGGTCCGCACGCTTCGTCGGGGCACCCATGGAATGGACCAGACTCCCAGAACCGGAGCAGCTTGGCAGGCCAAAACTGCTTCCAATATGGCCATAGCAGCAGCTGGGCACCTCATTCGAGACAATGTGCTGGCAAACACCAAAATGTCTGCACGAACGTATGGCAAGCTGCTGAAGGAGTAGCCTGGTTGCAAAGAGTTTCCGTGCAACAGTTGCAAAGTTTGACAGAAAAACAGCCCACGGGCTACAAGACATGTGGCATCATGTGGCATAGGCTTCCACTGTTTGAAGACTGCCATGTCATCACATGTCTCACTTTCTCACTCAGCGCGTTTCGTTTTTGTTTTCACATGTGGCACATGCGGCACCTGCAGAGATCCGCCACTGCGCTGGTGGCACTGCACCGATCCGGGCGGGAGCCTTCCGAATCGAGGCCGGACGACATCCATTGGGATGGCGTGTTGGGTGGAAGAGATTTAGCCAAGACTCCTACGCTCGAGGACCGGGGGGCTTCCGTGGAGTTGATGGTTGATGGACATGTGTGTGTGTGTGCAGGATGGGCCAGCCGGTGCTGTGAACAGGTAGTACCTGCCAGGCTGTCTACTGTTGACAGGCTGTCTACTGGCCCCCAATGTTGCTTGCACCTAGTTGTGTTCTCCCACAAGGAGTCATCACAGTCGAGACAATGGACTGCGAGGTCCGTAAACGGCGATGTGCGTTACGCACACATGGCATGGTCGTAGATTTCTGTTATGCTGTATGTACTCTTGTGGCCTGGTTCCAGAGCACGTTTGGTGACAAGAACATACAAGAACTATATAAATCAACACATGAATGTCACCTGTACATGGTGGATCAGTACGTGATGATCGATCAGAGTGCTATTGTGGCTGAGCCTGCATTACAATATGGTTGTCAAGACATCTACTTTTTCACTGGGCAATACTGACCAAGGAAACCATAATAGCCCGTTGTTGTGTGCTCAGGAGGATGCGTCGCTTCCAGAGAACCACGTCGTCACTTGACTGCAGTCAAAAGGCAGATCAGATCCGAATGGCGGTCTGAGGATCGACTTGTTTTTTTTAAACCTCCCTTAAGGCTCCGACATGCTCTAACCACCTTCTGAAGATATGGTTGCAGCCCTAGAGCTCACCAGGCTTGAGGCTGACGGAAACTGCCGGGTAAAGCATTTGCTTGGTGCAGAGGTTGATTGGTGCGACCGATGTCCAATGAGATTGTTTTTTGGTCTGTGTTTTTTCCACGGCCCGCAGGCCACCCTTTGTCAATGAGTCCTTTCCGCTAATTAGTAGCGATCCCGCGATCAGCTCTGTGAGAACGCGGATGGCCATCAAGACGGATGGCAGTCCTATGGGCTCACCAGGTGACTTTAAAGGCTGCCTTTTCAGACGATGGCTGTGTGGCCTGCGCCACAGGTATCAGATGGTCCAGATTTTGTCCATGCTGGCACTTTTCTTTTTTCTTTCTTTACGTCTGCAGGGACGTTTTCATTGATGAGGAACAAGGCAGGTGACAACTCTTGGCAGACTTCTATGAGATGGAGCAGACATATCTCATTGCATCTGTCTCCCAGAAGCTGAATATTTGATCAGGGTTTCAGCTTCTGAGAAGTCAGGGATGTACCAGTGTACCACATTGTACCACACAACCGAGTCGAACGGAGTGCAACGTGGAGAACCAATCACCAACAGTCGAATGTTTGAAGCCTTTTTGTCGAAGCCTTTGGAGATCTGGGCCGTGTTTCAGTGATTTGGTGTTCGGAATGTGATTCACGGTTGCCCCCCCTCAAAAAACCTGGTTTGGCTTCAGGTGATTGAGGCGTTGTCAACTCAGGTGATAGTAATTACACCTGATTGAGGCTTGAAGTAATTCAACTATGGTCACGCAGTTAAAACCCATTACTATCACACGGTTTTCCCCTATGACTTCAATCATGGTCGATCCCCTGTGCCTATGGGGGCGCTCGTCCATCACCGGCGGTTCCGTGGCTCCAAAAAGCCCAGCGTTTTCTGTCCTGTAGACCGCCCACGCTGGGGTGAGAACGAAGGAAGCGAACAAAAAGCACATGGAAGGTATGTGAAACACAGGATGAAAACAACGTGTGAAGCAAAGACTTTTGGGTTTCCCCCGCAGGTGCACACCTGAGTCCTCAATGTGACGAGGACGTCGAATCCACGTCGAATCCTGAGGAGACGTCGAATCCGGCGGAGACGGCGCCGAATCCACAGGACCCTTTTGCGTGCCGCAGCGTGCCGGAGGGGGAGGGTTTTGACACAGGCGGAGCATGGTGAGTTTGGGTGGTGGTTGTGGTTGTGGTGATTGTCGTTGTTGTTGTGGTTGTGGTGGTTGTGGTTGTTGTTGTTGTTGTTGTTGCTGTTGTTGTACAACATATCCACTTCAGTGAACCTGCAACCATAGTACTGTAGATTGTTTCGAACGGTAAACCGAAAAAGAAAGTTTTCCAGCTACATATTCCCAGATTTTATGTGGAGCGAGATGTATTGCTGGCCCAGACCGTTGGCTTTCATGTTACTTGGCTGAGTCCAGTCCTTCTTGATACTTCCCCTACATGCCCATAACACGATGTGTAACATCGCATTTCATCCAATACAAAGTTAAACTTTGAAGCGTAGGGTTTTTGGTGTAATGCTGATTCAGTGGGCTGACCGGATGGGTGACCAGGGTTGGATCCATGCGGCTTCTCCGAGGACGAGACACTCATGGCCAAGTTGCCTGAGGCAGACCGGTGTAGGTCGACCTGTAGGTCGACTAGTTGAACTCAGATTGGGAATATCATGTGGAACTCAGATCTTCACCGATGGACCGGAGCTCCACACCACAGGCAGTTTTTGCGTCTCCACTCACTCGTTGGAGCTCCACAACATGGCCTGCTTCTGTTTCATTGGCCTTCTTTCATCTTCTTCCCTTCTTGCCTCTTTTGAAGCAGGCTCCACTCCTCCAGCAGACATTTGCAACAGGATGACACCCAGATCATGTGTGGCTGAAAACCTTCAAGAGGCTTTCATCCATTCAGGCGCACCAACTCAATGAGTTGGGGTTCATGTCTGGAGGTCCAGAAATGCGAGTTGGATTCTTCAAAGCTTTCGTTTTGCCTCTTTAGGATCGTCAACCTTGAAGTGTCTAGGGCTCCAAGCACCACCTGAGAAGATCGTTGGGGTGGGTGCCAGGGGGGTCTAACCACCTTCTGAGGATATGGTTGGAGCCCTAGGGAGTATAAATCCATGTCCCCGAACAACATCCGCAGGCGCCGTCCTGCTGCCATGCGCAGGTCGCGGCCGCTGTCGCCGTGCTGAAAGATCTCCCGTGGCGGTCGCCACGGTGCCGACGCCTGGCGCTGTCGGGCCGGCAGGCACATGCGCAGTTCCTGTAGCGAGCGCCGATGTGCAGTTCTGCGCCGATGGAGAGGTTCTCGCCAAAGATGCGAGGAGGGCACAGAAAGATGAAAGAGGTTGGGAGTTGGATGACAATGAGCATCTTTGGCATATATATATATATATTATATATATGATATCTATGACTTGGCTGTTCGATGTGGAAGATTTGCAACTGGCCTGACTTCAGGGCCTGACTGCCCTGCCGAATTCTTTGGACTTCATCTCCATCCCTTTTAGGAAGCCCACTTACTCTCCCCGGAACTCTCAAGGAAGTGTAGAGCTCACCCCGCTGTTTCTAGAGGAAAATGGTTTTCCAAGGGGCCATTTTCATCCATTGTCCACTTCCATGTTACTTCCAGGGAAGGTCATGGCATATCCAGCAATTTGGATTGCCGGATCAATCCTAATATGAGTCCAGAACTTGTTTTGATTTCCAAGAAGTTCTGGAGTTCAAGGAGATTGGGTTTTGGATGTGTGTTGCATTCAGCACACAACATATATGACGAAACCTGACGGTTCACCTGGATGTTGGGTTCTATTTCCGACGAAACCCCTGCGAAATTCGATGCTGGAACCCCAGAACCTCAATGCAGTGATGCTGAAAGCCCTGCGGTTCAACTACCCACCCTCACCAAACTCTTCCTTCTCGCGCTTCGACTTGCTTAAGCTTCCTCACCTCGTGCGAGGTCAGTACTGGGAAGAAGTGGATCCTCTCTTCAGAACCTTCCCCTTTCTGAAGCCGGCTCGGAGCACCGAGCCTCCAGAGAGAGAACGAGCCCGCTCGGCCTTCGTCCGCTCGCGACCCGCGCCGCTTCGCGGTTTGCGAACGGGGCAAAGGAGGTCGAGGTTGGAGGTAGGAGGAAGTTGGGGAGTCCACGAAGATTGAAAATTGGATGAAGATTGGGTATGGAGAACAAGCTTTTTCTGATGGATGTTGATTCAAGCATACCTTTCTGGGGATAGATCCAGGAGTCCCCATCAAATAGATCTATTCTGAGAAACAATTGGAACCCGCATAATTTAAAGGGAATCAATAATCAATATAAGAATCTAAAGTATTTTAAAGACCTCGCAGAATTTAAAGACCCCAAAAGGAAAGATACCTGACAAAGCAATGCACTCCTTGAAACAATTAGACATAGGCCCCTCAAAGAGGACTCTCCCTTTGTAGGGGCCTGCTCAGCTTCCTTAATTGTTGGAGGGTCATGAGTCATGACTGATCCCAGAGGCTCATGGACCTTTACCAAAAAGGGCCAGACCCCCCATGTTGAGGAGTTTGGGATCTAAACTCCCTACCAACGGCGGTTTTTTTTTTGTGCGTTTCGGATGTACATACCGCTGCTATTAAGAGTCTGGCCGGCCCAACGAATCATCGGAAAACGGGTGGAACCCTCCACCGAGTCCTGCAGGACAAGAAAAACACCGACGATCGATCCAGGTCTGGGTGCTCTTCACGGTCTTATCCAGCTGGGCCCTTCTCAGCATCATGACCGGCGCAGGGAGGCCCAGAGCAGCGACGGGGAGTCCGTCGCTCAGGTCGGTCCAGGTCAGTCTGGGATGGTGTGTGGGTGAGAGGAGCACGGTGGTCCAAAAGGAATTGGTCACGTCACCACCGCCAAGTTCCCTGTTGAGAATAGAGGAATCTCTTTTCACCCAGTTCAGGAGATGTGTTCTGTGCAGTTGAGATGTTCCAGGATCTTTGCTTTGCTTGTCTTGAAGCTCAGGTCGTTAGCGACAATATGCTGGAGGAGCGGAAGGGATGAGGAGAGTGGGTTTCCCCGGCACCCAGATTTCACACTGCATACGCTGCTCTAAGTCTGGGTGAGTTTGGGTTGGTACACTTCCTTTTTCTCATGGAAGCGGCAAACCACCTGTTTGGTATTCACAAAAGTGTATCCAAGGAGCCATCCACTTCCATGGTTGTTCCAGGGAGTGTCAAATTGTGTTTTCTTTTGCCATTGGTTGCATCATCGAGATATTCCAAAGCCTACTAGGAGCAAGCCACACCAACAATCCCGAACCTTGGGCTTTTGGAACAGCGGGACGCTTCTTTCTTTGACCCACCCAAACACCAGCTAGTCCCACCCTCGTTGGATTCGGGGATGAAACCTTCCACCACATCCTGCGGTCTTGGAAAAGACCTGCTGACCGTGCCCCCTCGACTCGACTCATCCGGCAGCAAGCAAGCCCCCCGCAGCGGTGATCATCGATCGGACAGTCCGGGCGGGCGACGTGTCCGAACTTTCAGGGAAACTGGATGAATGAATTGCCTGAACCAAGTCTGGACATGTCGAACGTGTACCTCAGTGAGTACCTCAGTGAGTACCTCGTGTTTTGTGGGTTGCCCTGTGTAGGTTTCTTTGGGCTTTTGGCTCAAGAGATCAATCTCACCCCAAAAATCCTTTGACCAACCCAAGTGCCGACATGAAATCAGCAAAGCCATGACTATATGTGTGGACGAGCTGCGGTAGATCTGTGATTTAAGAGACATATGGCTGGTTCAAACGAGGAGACCGACTGGTTGACCTACCTCTTCCAGGTGAAGCTACATGGTGAGCCAAGGCTCCAGGTTCTGACCCGTATAGCTGGCACAATATTCCCAAGGCCAGGGGGTTAATTTGACAAGCATCCAATCCGGTGGATCAGGATATCATTTCGTAATTAAAAGAATACACGCAAGTATATCACGCAAGTATGGTAACATGGCCAGTCAAAGAGCAGCCAACCGTCTCGAACGGGGGCCTCAAATCACTGATCGAATCGATTCTACAGCCATCAAGTCTCGTGACGTTCAGCTTACTCGAGATGGGCGGTCCGCTCGCTCGCTGTGGTCACCTCAACTCCAGGTGCGACAACTCCAGGAGAGGAAAGATGAGGAGAAAGCAGAACGCCTTCGTTCGGAGCCCCTGCGTTCGGTTGAGTTGCAGTCGAGAGAACTGAGGGTTATTGTCTCCCAACCTAGGAACCCCGCACGTCAACTTCCCATCGAAGGGTGATAGGATTCCTTAGGCGCTGTGTCGTGTCAGTTGGGGACCCATTTTAGTCCGCACGTGAAGTGGCGACTGAACTGAGGGGAGAGTGGTGGTACTAGGCTACTTGGAACCCCATCCAAGGCCAGCCGGCGTTCCGCCTCCTCCGTGGGCTTGGAGGGCCGTGCAGAAAATCTCATCCTCGTGCAGGCTTTGATCTCGCATAATTAGGTAGCTACCAGTGTCCGCTGGACCTAGGCACTCTCCATGTATGGAATCTAGCTACATTGACCCCTAGCCTGAACCATGTATATATGGCATACGTCGTTTTTCCAGCAGAAACGAAAGAGAGAACCTTGCGGTGAAGTCCCAATCATGTGGTTCAGACACGTGTGGAGATGGAGAGCTCCAGATCCTTCGCAGCGCTCGTTCTCTCCCGCTCCCGCGCGGGCACCGGTGGAGAAGCTCCGACCGGGAGAACCCGGTCTCCCGGGGTCGTCGTCCGAGGCCTTAAGGTGACCCAGTCCCTGAGTGAAATCTTCTTGGCAGCCAGCAAAGACGGCGTCATGGAGAAGCAGGAGAGGGCGGCCGCTTTCGCAGTGAAGGTGGTTAAGGTGATCCGTGGTGTCCCCAGAAGAACCCCAGCACTCACGGAGTGAACGTATGTACTGGGCTCCAGCGGATCTCCAGAACTGGAGCCCACAAAGTCTGGAACCGCTGTTTCTTTTGTTCACAAGCACCTGAAGTTGTGGGTTGGCTAAGTGGGTGTGTTTTTGGTATAGGGACGATCCCCAACCCCCCCAAAATGGGGTCAGACTCTTCCTACTTGCGGGAGATCTCTTTGTTTTCATACACCCAAGTTGGGACATGGTTGAGTGTCACCCAATTTTGTGGCATGTGTTGCTTGTGGTTGAAAGGACCCCTTCGAGCGTCACGATGCATTGGGTCAAAACAGGGAGCCTGGTTGACCCTCAAAAGTGGACGGATTCCTACATTGATGTCAACGACCATATAATATAGTTGCACATTTCTTCAGGGTCGTATTGTGTAGGGTGCTTCGCAGGTCGCAGGTTCAAGGTTGGTTTGGAACAGATAAACATGCATGTTCCTGAAGACAAGACTGCAAGCAATTATTTATACTGAAATAGTCTGAAATAGTACCTCTGAATGGGCAGATCGAACACAGGCGGAACAGCACCTTCAAGTAGCAACTTGTAGCACGAAGTGTGACAGTCAGTTCAAGACCCTTGGGTGAAGGACTTTGAGGAAGTGATGAGCTCACCATACTTCCTGCGGAAGTTGCAGAGTGTGGCCAACATGCGCGGGCGCACAGGGCTGGGACAGGGCTGTGGCGACCAAAGGGTTGTGGGACTCTGTTTGTTTTTACTTGCGACCCTTGAGAACTCTTGAGAACTTGCTAAGATGTGATGGATGTTGTAGACTTCGTCCATGGAGTTGATCAGAATAGCTTCCATCTTAAGATCTTAAATCTTGGGGAGGCTGCCTTTTTCTCTTCCAACGATGTGCACCTGCGACCAGAGCGTTGTGTATACACCAGGAGCTGTCGAATGCAAAAAAGCCGTTCTCGCTCTGGCCGTGGTGTTTGTTCTTGCCCGTGGACGCGCTGCAGCTGCCCGGTGGCCAGCACCCAAACCGTCCTCAAAGCATCCGGCCTCAAAAAACAACAAAAAGTCGACGTCCGGGCCTCCCAACTCCCAGATTGACCGTGTTGAAGAGAGGCTTGAAGCGCCCTCCATGCCGTGTTTTTGCGCTGCTTTTCTCTCAGGCCTGTGCAAGACATGCTGCGGATGTTCGACTGGCTTGATGTCAACCAGCAGGCGGTCGTCTTGTGCAGAAGCTTGCAACAACCTCGTAACTTGCTGCAGCAGTAGCTGAGGATGCTGCAGTATGCTGGGACCCACATTCCTTCCTTTCGGACAGACGTGGTATTGTTGAGATCATTCATATCTCCAAATGCATGCAAATTGGTAATCTTTACGGAGCTAGGGGACCGAACAAACAAAGACCAAACATGAATTGTGGATGTTTCCGTCAACATCCAGCGTTCATATTGTTCAGAGACTTATTGATACTGACCTGTATGACAGACTCCATCTAAGACCCTGAGCCCTCAGAGCACTCCCATGGCTGAAAAAGAAAGAACAGAGCTGCTTTTCACGACCCGGACCTGAAAAGTTCGTGATCGTTTGAGGTCCCAGGATTTGAGGTGAACAAGGCCCTGCCAGGACGGTCACAAGTCCGAATGGCCGGAAGGGTCGCTCGACCGGCCGGTCGACCGGCCGCGGAACCGGCACCGTTTTCCGTTTTGGTTCTCTTCTCGTCCTTCGTTTTTTTTTCCGTTCAGGGCAGCATCAACCAGGAGGACTTCATGGCTGGATTTGATTGGTTGCCCACACCTCAGCACGCCGAAAAAGGTGGACCACCGGTGAACCGGTGGGCGTGGCTTGCTTCGAAGAAGACCGGTCAGAGGCCGCGTGCTTTTTGGTACTAGAAGCCAGAACCAGCAGTCACAAGACGGGGTGCGATCCATGGAGGTTAAGGGTGCCCATTATCCACTCACTTAGGGACTAAACACCACCCCTTTGTGACTCCTGGAATGCTCCGTTCGTAGCGATGCCAGGAGCCCCTAGTACGTAGCGTCCCTTGCTCCGTTCGTAGTAAGGCCAGGAGCCCCGAACGTAGCTTCTTGGTCATGGGTCATTGGCCATGTCGTCAGTGTTTTTCAGAATCCAACAGTTCACCCTCCCTCCAATCATGGAAGCTGACCAGGATCCCCTTGTAGAGGAAATTTATCTAAAGATGTCTAAAGTCTAAAATGCTCTTCCACAGTTCCACTTCCATGCTTGTTTCAGGGGTTCTGTTTCATGTGTTTTCCACCGACTCGTTGAATTTTTTCAGCTTCTTCATGATTCTTCCATGTCTTATTCGACAGCATCTCCTGAGGAATGAGGCTGTGACGGGGAAGAGCTTGTTGAAGCTGCAGACCTCCGCCAGGCCTCGCGATTTCGACAGAACCGGTTTTCCGTGACAGCTGCATGTACCTTGAACATGTCATGCGTAGAAATAGAAAGCGTTTCTCTTTTGAGGTCATGGGACAGTCCATTTCCGCACAAACCATATCAACAATTGTGTTGCCTTTGAAAAGGAATCTGTGAAAAATGACCAATTTGACCCCATGAGGCCCTTTTGCGAGACTCGGCATTCAGATTTGCTACTCCAAGACTTTGTAGTTCTATCCCAAGTGTGACCCAGGTCCAAAGCTGCTCCTGAAAAAACCTCCTGGAGTAGTGTAAACTTGTATGACCATCTCCAGTACTTCATGAGGTCCAACCTGACCTGTAGCATATGGATCCATAGGGGCATGACCCTCTATAGAGAATCGATCATCCGCCTTCCAACAGGTCTTTGGACCCCAAACCAAGCCATTCTCTGGACACTTGGCTACCTGGGCTACCCCCGGAGCTTGGGGGTGGACCTAGGCTAGCTGGGCTCTTCACGATCGACCGACGGAGCTCAAACGAAAACAACCAGAACCAGGACCCTCACCTTCCTGAGACAGAGGAGGCCTTCTGAGAACTCCTTCTGAGAACTCCGAAGTCACTAGTAAGTCACTCCAAAGACTCCTGGAAGGACCAGGAGTCACAAAGGGGTGGTGTTTAGTCCCATCCAGTGAGTGGAGTAGCTGGGCACCCTTAACCTCCATGGATCGCACCCCGTCTTGTGACTGCTGGGAGAAGTCTCTTTCCCCCCCCTCGACCACAGGCACCGCTGTCGGAAGATCGAAAGCCGAGCCTCTGCCGGGGGGCGCCCAGATCAGCATGAGTCAACCCACTCGGCCCTATGTATACCAGGACCAAGAACTAGAGGTGTCTATAAATGGCCTCTTAGAGGTGTCTATAAATGGTGGCCAAGAACCACCTGTTGGAAGGTCCTGGTATATAGTGATAAGTTCTTTTGTTCTGGAAGAAAAGCAACGCATTTATATGCATTTATATAATTTGTGCTGTTGACAGGCCCAGCACTTTTTAGATGACATGGAGCCGATATTTGACAACCGATGTGCTTGATCAAATATGGAACTGTCGACAAGCTGAGCAATCTCCGATGTTATTTTTGTTCAAATTGTCTAAACGTTGGTGTTGGTGCTTCTCTTTTGTTCCTTCTCTCTCTCTCTCTATGTCTCTCTCTCTCTCTCCTTCACATATCTTCAAATTACTTATACAGGAATAGACGGCACATGCACCACATGTTGCCCTGGAGCCATTGCTGCGTTTGATGCAGACTCCAGGGACACCACAGACACAGACCAACCGGCGAGGACCCAGTGGCTCGACATTCAATTCTTGGCCATGTTGGGTGTGTCACCATGCATTCCTATCATGTACCCAGCGGCTGCTCATCCCAAAAAAAGGCGTCCCTTCGTGCTCCAAGGCCCTACGCTCGGAGATCAATTCGGCCGAAGCCATGTTGACCAGGCGCAGCCAGGACCGCCCTCCTCGGCGCGCGTCGCGTCGCGCGCGCGCGCGTGGCGCGTATATGAGATGCATTGAGGTCGCCCGACGTTGGGATGCGGGATTGGCCGACCAGGTTAGTGATCCCCCGCATGTGTTCGGGCTGAAGTGCTGGAAAGAGTTCGTGTCAAGACTCTTTGGGCCGCAGAAGCCTCTCTTCTTCGTTTGGCACCAGGGGGGCGGATCCTCTACACCCTGGGAACACCCTCGCACGTCCCAGGACATGGACCAAGTCCTGCAGGAGGTTCTGCAACGTATCGAGGCAGTTCGGCTGCGGGAGCGATGCGGGGGTCAGGTGGGGGCATGTTGAACATGCGTTGCAGGCTCGGAAGCGATCGCAACTGCGATCACAACAGATCCGGGCAGATGTTGAAGCATATATCCAGGACCTTCAAGTCATGACCGTCCGACGGGTCGATCCTAGTGGCTGAAGAGGTCACGTATACAGACTTCCGAGGTCACGAGGTCACGTACTGTTTCGGTCCTGGATGTTAACGTTTAGGAATCCAATGTTATTTGTTGTCCTCCCATCCCACTCAGCAGCAATAGCCTCAAAGCAAGAACAATCCCTGCTCAAAAAACAACACAACTCACAAAACAGGTGTCCCTCCATGTCCCTCCCACGTATGGTGTGAAGGTTTCTACATCAGAACTGGGACTTGAAACTCAATAACCGGTTGTTGGAGCTTCTAGTTTGAACAGCAAGGAAATGGAACAGAATCCCTGAACCAAAAAGACACAAAAACACAGGTATATACTGTAGTCAGTTACTGCGGGCCTCATTGAAACAGTTCCGTTGCAAATGCTTCGTCGTTGAGTCGTTGGTGTTCAATTTTGAAACAGTACGGGAAGAGGAAACATTAATTTGGAAGCTCTGGTGAGATAAACTCAGACATAAAACATCATGAGATCACGAAACGTAGCTTCAGCTAGAACTCACTTCTCCTTGCTTTAGCAAAACATGTCTTGAAACATCTGGAGGCCAGGGATCGTGTACCTTTGGGCCTTGGCGACCTTTCTTTCACCCCCTCCTCTCTCAAGTTGTGGCCAACGCTGGTGTCATTGCCGAGACACTTCATGTATGCCACAAATGCCGATCAGTTGGGGTGGTTGACTGGGGGTCAATTGATCGGCATATATGGCAGTCCCTTGGATCGTCGTGTCGTCGCAAAGAAGGTGCTCCGACAGCTGCAGCCAGGCTGAAACCGAGCAGCAGAGCCGGGCCCGCGAGCGGGTGCAGATGCGGCTCGGTGTTTCGCTTCGGGACGACGGGACGAGGGACGAACGAACCGTGGGACGAGGCGATGTGGGAAGAAAGACAGTCCAAAACAAAAGGATATTTATACTCCCCTTGAGTACTCCCCTGCCCTTCGGTCCACATGGAACCCCAAAACCGCTGGGTTGTGGCGGAAAATGGTCGAAACCACTGGGATTTTTTCTCTGGTTGCATGTGATTTTGCGGGAGAGTAGGGTGTGTGTGTGTGTTCATATCTTTTAAAGGTTGTGGTTGTTCATGGAAGGAGCTGAGCCGAGCTGATTTGTATTTTTTGCAGACGCTGATTCAATTTAGGTAATGTTTTATGGCAGTACAGTGGTTTCAGACTAGACGGCGCAAGCCCAATTTGATGTCTTCTATACATATTTGGGGGGGTCGGTCCATATATATATGAAGCACCTCACTTGGGGATTGCGCCATCTTCTCCGACCCCACTGTAATTCATGTGTGGAATAATTGGTTCCATTTGAGTCCTGGTGTTCAACGTGAGCTACTTGGCCGGGAGAGAAAACACGACTGGTTTTAGGGGGGAGGTCGATTGAAGAGCGGTCTAGCCAGCAGTGGTCTGTTGGTATGCTTGGAGTCAAAAGAAACACATGTTTCAGGGGTCTACCTTTTTTTGGTGTGCTGGTACTATGAACCTCCACTCGTGGTCCTTGTTGGTGACCCCCTACCTCTAGCTTCAGACTAGAAGGTTCATAGCTGGTACCACATATTGAGTCACCAAATCATCCACTTCTGGTCGGCCCACACTAGTCCCGTCCCACCCTTCGCCTTTGCGTCCTACCAGGCAACTCATGGAGCTCCGAGTGCAGATCGAGCACTATCGTGCACAGGCGTCCGCGGACGCGTAGAACCGCACGCCGACGGCAACGCATCCGAATCGCCGAAGGCCCTGGGTGGTCACTTCGTGGCGGTGGCAGACCGGTGGCAGGGTGGTTGAACATCCAACACCTCCATGCCCCCCCACGCGGTGAATGAGAGGTTACCATTAAATGAAGTCCAAGTATGCTCTCAACGGGATTGATCTTTACACACTCAACGTTCAACAAGGGAGGTATGATTCTTACAGGTCTTGGAATCAACCGCCAGACATGACCGTCCACCTGTGTCGCAACTCATTTAGTCCAGCTGGTTGGCAGGATTGGCTTGCCACCCACCTGGAAACCCCGGTCCCAACCAGAATCGAGAGGTTGTTCCAAGATGGCAGGATGCTTTACATCGGAAGGAGCTGGGAGATAGCTGGAGCTGGGGAAACATCCAGAACTGTTTCTGTGACTGGGACTGTGTAAACCCAGGCATGAATTAGATCCAAGAGCCCACCCTCAGAGAGCAATGACCATTTCCATCCATATATGGAAGAGTTGCTTTGGAAGCTTCCCAATGTAGAACTCTTCCCGTCCGGATGTTTGGCATTTGGGAAGGACATTCGTGTGTCTTCTTTCTTTTCTTCAGAACATGAATGACAACAGGCACCCCATTCGTCTCTTCAGCATCATGTTCAATCCCTATAGCGGCCCGGTCCAGGTCCAGTCTGACCCAGCGGTCGGACCTGGTGACCTGGTCCAAACCGCAACCGGTGCAATGACCAACCTCCGTCTCGGTCCAGGTGTCAGGCCTGAGTCCGGCGACCCGAGTCCGGTACCGGAGGTGACCGGAGGTGAAGTTCGGAACATGATTCAGGGATGGGAGAAGCAGGATGTCAAAAGAGCTGGTTGGTTGGTCATATTTCAGTGTTCTTCTTTTCAGCTTGAGCATGTCCTTTTTTTTCTTGGCGGAAGACGGCCACTCTCACTCGCTCCTTTTCAACCACCACTCTCTCCGCGCTGAGGTGCCGGAGGCACAGGCTCGAAGTTGGCCTTGGCGGACAGCCGGGGGCCTCGGAGGGAAGGCTCTCTCTTGTGATTCAGTGGGGCTGGGTGGTTTACTGAGGAGATACGCCAGCATCGTGGTTTTTTCCGGGTGTTAACCAGGCATGCTTGGTTTGCAGATCGATGCCCCAACAACCAAAGACTTGAAGTCTAAATTCAACAGCGGTGAAGCAGGTTGCTTTTTTTCCCACCTGCCAGGTGAGGGTCTCTTGTTCTTTTACGCGAGGAGCAGCTCCTTCCAAATCACCTATCAGGGTTGGGATCCACTCGAAGTAAATTGGAAAGTATGTGTTTTAACAGAGATTGGTGCTTCGGTTGGGGCTCTTCGGAGACTGGGCATGGTCCCCAAAACGACCGTCACCAGCAGTGTGAGATGGCCCCCCAGTCACGGATGTCCGACCATGTCCGGCCCGGCTGCCGACCCAACGGCTGAATCAACACCAGGTGATCGTGGGGGGCGTCGGTGCAGACTGGGCACCGACTCGTAGGTGACTGGAGAAATCTCCACACGATCTCACACGTTTTTTGCTGGTGTTTTTAAATGTTGTTTCCTTTTCACACTTGTCCACCTAATATCCACTCATGTCGACGATGATTCACTAGAGAAGAGGATCATAGGCTTCTCGAAGGGACCAGGAAGAATTGGTCAGCCCAGACCTCGCCAGAAATATCTGGGCGGTGATTTCACACCATTCCGATGTGACATTTGGTGACATTCCAACTCTGAGCTGGCTCCAGTCTTCCAGCTACAGTAGTGGTGGAGGTTCGGCCAACACCCTGAGTCCACCGAGAGCGCATTCGTTGTGTTCGCTCCGACAGTTCTGCGCCCCCGATGGGACCGGTACATTCAGGCGAAGCAATGCAGCGGAGTACGTAGACATGGGCCTACTGCAGGAATCTGTTCACTAGTAGAAGGAAGTTGAAGCATGGTTTCAGACGGTTTTAGAGGTTCGATGGCACATGATGGCACTGGCACCCCTACATGTCTTCGACAGATGTTTTTCCATACACTTATAGATCAAAGTGATGAACTCCCAGGGTCCCGTATACCGACCGCCTCAGCCCTGACCCAGGCAGGCGTGAAGACGCGAGGCCCAAATCTCCACACAGGAGCCCCGCCGTCACCGCACACAGAGAGGGAACGGTGTTGACGCGGTGGGACCTCGCGGTGTTCGGATCCAGATTTGGGAAACGAGCCGACCCGGTTCATGCTTCATGAAGTCTATATAAAGGACGATGTTTCAATTCGTCGAACAGGAACCACATGGAACCACTGACTGGTTAGGGTTTAGGGTTACCAGCTAAAGATGGACCACTCACTTGTTGATGTCCAGGACCCACCTGAACTTGTGATTGTTGTTCTTGTTCAGCTCGGAAAGATGCGGGCTCATGACCAAACGGGCGGTTGGGGGATCTTTGGTCCATCCTGACACCACCTGACTGGTCGTGCGCTGTGAACAACTTGAAGAACTACCAACTTGCATGACATCAGGGTATCTCGACTGACTCCGCTCAACCATTTCTGACTGACTTAGGGATGCGAATGTATGCCGTGTTGCAGTTGATGACTTCTTCCCCCAAAGTTTGCCTCCTTTGCAAGTGGTACCAACTGCTGCAGTTGTCAAAAGAAATCATGAACCAACTCGCAGACAGGGAAAACAGGTTGTTATATATCCACAAAAACGTACCTCCGCAAGCGCGCCGCGAGTCCTGCGTGCTGCCCCTTACGTAGGACTGGCCTCGTGTCGCAGATCAAGAGTGCTGCCAGCAAGCTCTCGTGGGAGTGCTGAGGATCGACTGTGAGCGACTGTGAGTATGGGGAACCCACAGGGCTCTCGGGTTGGTGAAGAGAAACCCTGACAGGTTTTTCTGAGATTATTCATGGATTGACACTCTGGTATAGAAGGGTATTGTGGGGGGGGGGGGTTCTAGAGTTCTATAGATATCGGTCAATGGCGTTCCATGTACATTCAGGAATGCAGGATGACGATGACAAGGCTGTCGGGGGTGCTTTGGGAGGCGCGCTTCCACTGGCACCACGAAGCGAGCATCATCGTGTTATGATGTGTGATGTCCCAGATCCATAAGTACAATCGATATCAAGTAATTACTACTAGTCCGGTTCCTTTAAACCCGCGTGTGGTTCTCCCCAGTTCCTTCAATGACTTCCCGCTCTCGGCTCAGTACCCGTTGCCGTTGAGCATTGAGCGCTTGAGGTCCGTCGTTTCTCGAAGGAGTCGATCGCTGAGGCTAGGCTGGCGCTCGGGCAGCTCCAGTGGGTGGCGCTCAAGCTCCTCAAGCCCCAGAAGTGCCAAGACGGAGTGCCTTAGCGCTAACAAGTGGCGTGGCATGTGTACCTGCTAGAGGGAGGGATGGGACAGGTGCTCAAAAGGCAGCTGGGCACCAGACAACCCGAAGGGAAGAGGAAGGGGAAGAAGAAGAGGAAGGAGCAGGATGGTGCGCCAGCCGGTTATGTCTGGCTTTCATGGTCTCTCTTTCGCTTTCGCTCTCCCTCGTTTTGTTATTTCTCTCTTTCTCTCGCACTTTCTTTCGTTCCCTTTCCCGTTCCCAGTCCCTTTCCCGCAGAAAACGCAACTAATGCAAGGCAATCAACATCAAAAACGGAACATGCTAATAATGCAGGCAACTCGGGCAGCATAAATGGCACCAAGGGCTTTTGAAGCCGAAAAATCGGAAGGCCACAAGACACTGTAAAGCACTTCCAAAGGTTAATTGGGTCTGCAGGTGCGGCGGCTCCCGCCTTAACCTTTGGCTACCAAGAGAACCCAAGAACATGCTGAAAATTGTGTGGGCTTGGCACTGGAACCGTACGTAAGGCACACTGTAAAAGCCAACGGTTTCTTGCTCCCAAAGCAACAACAAAACCTCGTAGATTTTGTGACTTTTGACTTTCTGAAAAGCCGTGCAAATAGAGCGCATGGTTTGTGGCTTGCCGTTCAAAAACAGCCCTTAGGCTCCTAATGCGAACAGTCTTGCAAACCCCAGGTTCAACACATTGGTGTTTACATTGTCTCCAGCCTTCAAAGTTAACACCATTAAAGTACAAAGTTGACCTTGGCAAAGACCATTAAAGAGCAAGTTGTTGGACTCCCAGGGTTGTAACTGTTATGGTGCCTAATGCAGAAATCATGTAAATACCGTGTGTGTTTTGTTAGCTTTCAGTTGTTGAAAGCATGTGTAACTTCCTGATGTTCAAGAACGCCTTTACATGTCTTTACAGTGACACGATAAGATTCTTGGGAATGGCCCTGCTTCATATGCCCCAGGTTTTGCATCTTTTTGGGGGGGGCTTGCGTGCACAATGGCCCCGCAATCGAATCCAAAGACATCGCCCAGCACTTACCGGAGTCCTTCTCAGTAACACGCCGAGATGGTGCTCCGCTTACGCTCTCGTTCATCGTCCTAGATGGGTCTCGGCGGATTCCGTATATATCACTTCTAAGCTGTAGGGTGTCACCTGGTGTCACCGGGTGTCACCCCCGGTTTTTTCCAGCAGAAAGATCATCGGCCATGGAAATTCCAGTGTCTCCTGTTTCTGAAGCTGTCTCCAGTCGCGACGTGAAATGTCCACCTTCAGGTCTCGACGAAGATGAGGGGCGCTCCACCGGGGACCTCTACGTGGCTAATGAACCGGGCGACACGTCAAGGATGGCCACACGGAAGTGACAATCAGACGTCGGCAGGCAATGAGACGAATGGGCACATCACTATGTTGTTGAAGGTTTTTTCCCATCTTACTCCAGGCTCGACCGCAATTATATCCCAGATGCTCCATGTGGTACGTATATATGCCGATCAGTTAGTGTGGTTTGAGGGGTCAATGTAGTCATATATGGCAGTCCCATGGAGCGTCTGGACCGTTTGGGTATGGATGGTTTCCAACGTCTCATGACGTCTCATCTAAGAGCATTTGGTTTCTGGTGTTCCGCTTGAAGGTTGTTCAAGTCGGATGGGCCCTTTCGGCCTGGACACCGAAGACTGCGCTGATGGCGCCCCCGAACCTTTTGGTTGTAACAGAAGTCATATGAAGTAATGTAGACCTCTTCATACGAAGGGTTTGTTATTTCTTATATTCGACATTATTAGTTGGTTTGGGTCAATACGGTTAGGTGGTTTGTTCTATATAGTTGGACGTGAGTGAAAGATGACTCCCCGGGCCATGTCCATCCTGCTCTCGGGGCAACCTCGCTCCATGGCTCTTCACTCGGGCCGTCGGCCATCCAAGATGCCCGACGGCGGCCGTCCGAACGCGCGTCTCACGGAGAAAAGCGGTCGTCCTTTGCCGCCGGAACTGGGCGGGGTGGGATCAAAAACCGGAACTGGAGCTGGGGTTGAGAAGGGGACGGTACCTCCAAAGTAATGTAGACTTAAATAAATATATATATACCTGGGTCTTCATAAGTATGCAATTTTTCTGCCTTTTCATTCAATACTGCTTTTTCAAGCAAACGCCAACTATTTTGTACTGAAGCACTTTTTGCATTGACATGTTTTCTATGGTAAGTCAAGGTTTTGAAACGGCGACTTTTCCCGACCAAACGGCGACTTTCCCCGACCAAACGGCGACTTTTGCCAACTGCTAATTTGGCAACCTCTGTAAACACATCGAAACGGCGTTTTTGACGGCAAACGACTGAAATTTGTGCTGTTTCTCCAAACGGCAGAAAAAACACACCCGTGGAAGGTCCAGGTATATATTATATATACATATATATACATAAACCCGCCCATTTGAATTGTAAAATCTCTTCTTCAAGAGGGGATTCATGATCCAAGAGCCTACATTAGCCGCCTTGCTTGCACCCCTTTTCATGGGCACTGGGGTTCGCTGCAGAGGTGGAAGGAACCATTCACTAAGGGCAATGATATGGGCTACCTGACCTGCTTCAGGTGCGATATGTGCACGTGGAATTCCCTCCGAATCATCCCAGGAGGGGGCTATAGATCCCAATCATTCAAAGCACGTTTTATTTAGTGTCTTGGTGACTTTGCATTGCTTTGAAGAACACACGGCGCCGTCTCCCGTCTCATCTGCAATATATTAGACTATACAGAGCACGCGACCACGAGGAGTCATGAGTCAGGACAGCTTTGAAAGGCTGCAGAGAAACCATCCAGGCTTCTTAATCTGTCATGAAGTCATGAATTTCTTAATCCATCAAGGCTTCCAGAGAATGGAGTCAGGAGGTGTTCAGGAAGCAGTGACAGAACAGGTCGAAATCCATCGAAATCATTGGGACTGCGGCTCCGAAAAAACACCTCCAGGCTCACAAAACAGCACAGGACCCGGTGGCCATCAGACCAGAGGAGAGTCGTGCGATGCGCACTGAGTACATGCCCTGGATCTCCGATCGATGACCAAACCCAGACACGACGAGTCTGGGACTGCCATAGGACTGCCGCCCCAGACAGACCCCAGTCAACCACCCCAACTGATCGGCAGTCCTATGGCAGTCCCATGGTGTCTGGGAAACCTATAGTGCCAAAATACTGGCCCATGGATTTGGAGACCACTTTGGAGGGGGGGGAACACTTCGATGGGGTGGAAAATGCAACCCGCAGCGGCCACTTGTTTCTGAAAACAGCGGCCCGGCTGACTGTAATCACAGCTGACTGAGATCATGTGCAACTATAATTAGAACTGCTCAGTGCCATGTGTGAGCGATGGTTGCTGAACAGAGAGCCGTGGCTGAACAGAGAGCCGTGGTGAGGTCGATCAAGTCTTGATGACTCTTTTGCAGGACTGGCCATTGACCCTTATTTCTTGCAGGAAGTCAGTCATGCCCAAGAATGAACGTGTACTCGATTTACAACTCTATTATCCAGATACCACCATGTCGCTGGTAACCAGTTCCAAAGACTAGGCAGCTGACCTCCATAGTCCTGGTTCCGGCTTCGTGGCATAGCCACGCAGCCACGACCTGTGGCGCCATGTGCGGGGGGCGGGAATGACCTGGCGTCCCAAGTTCGTTGGTACCGAAGGGGAAATGGGAATCACCAGGACCCCAAAGGGTCTGTGAATGGACACCCCCAAAAACCTCTAGTTAGGGGCTATTAATGGACACCCTTTCCGTGGTGCTGGCACATATACCGTATATATCCGTAGTTTTTTTGGAATGGGGTCATGAGGGTCATGTCCCATTTTCTAAGGTACTTGAAGTCGGGTCCAGATACAGACATTCCTCCATAGTATAGAATATGGTGTTTGGGTGACATGGGCGTCGATGTCAGCTGCGAGTCACACCACACCAATGTAGGCATATATACCATACATGGAGTGTTTGGGTATAGTATCTCAGTATCTCTTGCTGGATCCGGCTGGAACACACCCACCATATGCTCCTTGTTTCAAGTGTTCAAGACCGCAGTCTTCTAGTTTAACGTGGCTTGTGACTTGTGTTCTTTATGGCTTTCTTTGCTTTAACACCACAGGCACCGAGCAGTTTCAACGTCCGATGTTGCCGAGGAATTCGAACGAATTTGCCGGAGCAGCTGCGCTGGTTGGGCAGTTGCCAGACTTGGGCGCCTCGGAGAGTCAGTACGACGCGGCGTCAGTTACTATTTACTAATTATTGTTTCTGCTAGCAGCTTCTTGTTACTACTAGTAAGGCACTTGTTACTAGTAGCGATACACTTGTTCCTAGTAGCTTATTGTTTCTATTTAATTCTTGTTTCTACTAGCTTCTCGTTACTACTAGTAAGGCACTTGTTACTAGTAGCGAGGCCCTTTGCTCCTAGTAGCGTCCTTGTTCCTACCCAGGAAGGGTAAATACGCCAAGCACTACTTTTTGAACAAGGCCTGCAACTGAACCATTGTCATCCACTGGGCCCTGCTAATAGATAGACCCAAGTAATAAGTCTATGTTCTTGATTGGTGACTGAAAGCAGCTAGTAATTTGGTGTGAGTGGGTGTAAGCGTGTCTTCAGTTTGCTTTGTTAATTTGGGTTTGTGGGTGGGGAAGGTCTCGTATAGTTTGTGCTGCTCAGGGTTGCTTGGCTAGCACTTGGCTGGCTTTCTCTTCTAAAAGGAGTTTAAATGGCCAATGGATGGTTGCGACGCCCCCGCAAATGCCGGATCCAAACTGGGCTATAGCTATGTAATGCACCACTCAGTGAGTGTGCCTGCCTGCTCAATTGTCAAACAGATGTCACGAAAATCTGTGACCACGACATGGGGATGGGACACCTGTTCAACACATTTTCTGGATCCCAACTGCGCTCTTACTAGGCCTACTGAGCTCTTCCTGGCCATGCAATGCATTATCACTCTCAAGACTTCCGCCCCGCGGCGTGGTCGTCCCTCCGAGAGCCGCAGCCCGACCAGACGTCCGGCCGCCCCGCCAAGCAGGCGGAGGCGTTCGGAAAAGGGCTGGATCTGGAGGCACTGAATCGGAGGCCCGGATCCAACAGACTGCAGCTGTGTGACAGCTGCGGGTGGAAAAACGGCGGGCCGGCGGGCTTTGGGAGCTGCGCCACTAGCAGATGCGCAGCAATCGACATGAAACCCTATGGGTCCACCTTTGAGAGGTGATACACCTAATAGGTGCCAGGGTCCAGGACCCCGAGAAGGTAGGACTGGATCCCTAGGGAAGAAGTAGAGTTGTGAAGAGTCATGATCCTACGAGACTTCATGGCAGTTAGCCAGTTGAATCTAGTTCTCGCAGAGACTCTCGCAGAGATCTTCGTGATTTTCTGACCTTTCTTCAGCTTGGCGGTGCCAGACCAGTCTCTCTTGAAACTGAATATACTGGAGGAGTGATTGGAAATCCTGTGCCACCAGGGATAGCCAATTGAAATCCACGTCATTAAAAGCTCACCAAAGATCCATGTCAACAAAACAGGTCAACCTCGGCCTTGGCCGCTTCAGACAGACCTTGCCGTTCGCGGTCGCCCCATGCCGCTCCCGTCGCCTCCACCGCACGCCGAGTCCTTCGCTTCTCAGGTCGAGGTCGAGCTCCGTGGAGGAGTTGAACGAGCTCAGTCGCTCTGCTCCACCGGTGGACCGGGGACGAGGAGAGCGGGGACGTCGTCTTCGCCCCAACAATGGTGGATAGACAGGAGACGGACGGACACCACTCAAACGGTTTTTGTTTGGAACATCATGTCTTCCATCTATAGGAAAGCCATTAGTCTGTTTTTGGGTGGTGGGTGTAAACACCAAATGGGTTTTGCCTGTAGGTTGTTCCCTTTAAAAATTAACAAAAACTGTCTGGTAATGACACATTTGATGAAAAACATCCTTTCGCTGGAGAATGTTTGGTTGGGTTGTGTTGGTCGCCTGTGTGAGAGTCAGACACCATGGAGAGCGATTGTTCACATGCAAACAACTGAGAAACAACTGGTGCCCCGGACAGTCTCCCACGGACAGAGCCGACAGGTCTCCTTTTTGGGCCTCCTCTTCAGGTGTTCTGGTGAAAGAAGGCAATCGTTGAGGTGAATGAACAAACCACACCCAAAACAACCCGGATCCCCGAGCCAGTCGTGGTGGACAACGCCCAAATCACCTGGCACAGCGGCGTCGCCAAAAATACAGCCTACCATGACCATTGCCCCTAGACAAGTTTGGATCATGGGTGAAACCATCAAGACTTATCCAATTCTGATGGCACAGACATGGGCTTATCATCCAGTGTCATGGCCAAGACAGACAGCACCCGGAATACGAAGACGTGACGGCGTTT